TTGATGGCCAACTTCTTCAGAAAGTTGCCGCTCGTGACGCCCTCAATATCGGCGATGCTGGGCAAGCTTCGCCGCCGGGTGCCCCACGTGGCGGCTCGGGACACAATGGACGCGTTGTCGTGGTACATGCGCTCAAAACGCTCAATGGCGGCTTGTGACGTTTCGGGCTGGTTTCGGACGGCGCCTTGTGCAATGGGCAGCACAGAAGGACCGTTCTCCCAGATGTTGCTCTTGAGCATGATCTCGTAGTCGGTAGCGGTGACGGGCCCGCCGTTGCCAGTGAAGTATGTCCGGCCCGGCTGTTCGACGTTCTGTGTCTCGCCGCCGAGATCGACCTCGCGCGTCGACACGCCCTCAAAGGCGCCTTCTGGGCCAGGTGGCGGGCCCTGAATATCAGGCTCGCCGCCAGCAGCCGAGTCGAGCCATTGGCTGACAGCGGCGTTCTGCTTCTCCACCTTTCGTGCCTCGGCATCGTCGTTGATGCTGGTGAGGATCTCGGTCGAGGGGCGATTTGACGGGTCAATGCCACGACGGGCAGATTGCGCGGCCACATCGGCCTGTGCGAGGAGAGGGCTGTCGCCGGCGTTAGAGCCGGCGCGCTCGGTCTTGATCTCGCTGGAAGACAGATAGCTCTCCTCGTGGAGGGCGCTGTCTTTGCCCCAGAGCGAGACGGTGACATGGGGGTTTTGATTTGACATGGGAGGCGCTGTTGTCGCGGTGGCGCCTCCTTCAGTGGACAAACTGCCTCGATCGTTGTTTCCTAAGCTGCCCCCGCTGCTGGTCGTATCTGGTGTGAGCTGCGTGGCGGCGTCGCTGACAAACGTTTGTAGCTGCGGTACGGTTGTCGTTCCTGTTGCTGTTGATGCGGGGACCTTGGTGAGTTGCTGTGGCGAGACAAGGCCGTCAAAGCTCGGTACAGCGGCAATGCTGCGGGATGCGGCCTTTTGCGCGGCAGCCGACGAGGAGGCGGCGTTGCTGGGGGAGGCGGGCGCGTTGAGAGATGGTGTCTGATCGGGGCTTATGGGGTACGTCTTGATGTCATTGAAGATGGGCTCGGGCGTTGTATATGTCTGCGCGTTGGCGTCTGCGAGTGAGGCGGCAGCGGCGGCAGCGCCAAAGGGGTCGAAGTTGCCCGCGTCCTCGGCGAGGAAGGAGGGCGCGTTGCCGCCAGTGGTGCCGAAGATGGCGTTGAAGTAGTTGTCGTCGCCTGCGTTATCTACGTCAAACTCACTGTAGTCGCTGGACTGGTAGTGGATACTGAGGGCGACAGACTCGGCAGGGGTGTCTGCGTTGTTGAGGGCCGGCGAGGATGCAGTGTTGTGCAACATGGGCGGCGAGAAGAGGAGACTTGAGCCGGTGGGCGTGCCGGGCTGCAGGTTGTCGAGGTCGTCGGTGGTTTCTGCAAACTCAGAGGGCAGATCTGGAAACGGATATGAAGACATGATGAAGGCAGAGGAGAGGGAGAAGAAGGAGGAAGCAAGAGAAGAAAAATAAACAGAGTAAAGAGAAGACGAGGGACGGCGGATGGTTCCAGGATAGGGGGGGAGGGGTGGGTGAAGGTGTTGTCTGCCTTGTATATACAGCTCAAGAGTTCAGGGTGGGTAACGGGGATATCAGGTAGCACTCGCGGAATGGAGTAAACCGTACGAAAAGGGAAGTGATGAGAAGGAAGGGGAACATGCAAAAAGACGGCCACTGACACGAGGCAGAGGACGATTGATTGATGAAGGAGAGAGAGTTGGAGGAGGATGGGACGAAATACCAAGTCCCGTTTCGATCAAAAGGTAGCGTCGTCCGTCCGGCTTGTGGGTGGAGGGACAGAGGTGCAAGGATCAAACAATCCTGGCTTGGGCGGGCTTCCTTCGTCACCTCTCAACCTCTCAAGGTAACTCGCACAGGGAAGAATTGGAGAGATGGTGGGTTGGGGGGGGGGGGGGGGCTGTTGCAGTGGTGGGTGCGGCTAAGGCGAGGGCGGGGACCGCAGTGCAAGTTGCTTGTGTCTGTTTGACTGCGGTCAGGCGCGGCGGGAACCCAAAGCTTAATTAGTGAATGAGGAGCAGTGGCAGTTGACCGTTTCACTCAATGCGGGCAGCCGGGTGAGATTATGGTGACGGGGTCTGGGGATTGTTGATTGTTGATGATTGTTGATGATTGTTGATGAAGATGGTGATAAAGCTGTTGAGTACGGAAAGGGGATAAAATCGGGAAGAAAGGGGTCTGAGGCTTCAAATGGACCGCGAGAGGGCAAGAGCATTTCTGAATTTTCTGAGGCAGGCGCGATTCTGCGTGCGGCGCTTTTGTAGTTCAGCTGAAAATTATAAAATTACGGAGAAGGAGCATGTCTCCTTCGTCGAGCGCCCCTGCCCCAGGATATTGGGGGCATTGGGAGGCCCCTGGCCGCGTGCGAAGAGAGGGAAAGCGCGGTTGCTGTTCGGTCGCGCCAAATTGAGACGATGAGCCGATTTGTACTAGGGCGGGTTGCAGCGCTTATTCGCCATGGTACGCCAGCACGAGTTCTTTACTCCGTTCCACTTTGTATTTTACATCGTATTCGTCAGAATACGGAGAACATGAGTTGTATAAGTCGTCTGCCTGTTTGTTACTTTTTTCCTCTGCTTCTGGCCTTGTAGACCTTGCCAGCCCGCCTAAGTAGCCGTGTTGTCCAATTCTCTTTGGCCCTGGACGCAACTCTTTTTTTTGTCCAAAAATCTCAGCATGCGCCGCAGGCTGTGGAGCTACAGCCGTTTAAACAGGAGAATGGAACAGCCAAATGTTCTGGAGAACGCATGACGGGTTGTGTTCCAGTGCCTGGAGCCCCCGGCCGCCTCGTGGCTTTAGGTGACCCATCATAACCTTTTTGCCAGGGCAAGCATTGCGAGCAAGAAAGACGATGCGAATATTCCAACATGGCAATGTACTTGTCGATCGAGGCAGCGGCTGAGCAGCCGTAGCTACGGGGACCGAATACAGGGTGACGGGCTGGCCACGCCGGTTCTGTCGAAAGTTTAGACTTCGACAAGATAGTTCGGGATCTTAATACCAGACACAGACAGACAACACAAGCCAAGAAACGACGATCCTATGCCTCACCTCGAGTTTACACCAACGACTCCACCGTGTGACGGAGGCTCCGCGGAAGATAGTGGGAACAACGCCAAATCGCTCTTGGTTTTACACTGGATGTGGCAGCGCGGAAGCCAAGTTAGTTTTTCATTTTGCCGTTGACAGGTATTTATCATACTGTGTACAGAAGTACTTTTCCGCAACGCGGTGCAGTCCCCCTGACAGGGCAGAGAAAGAACCCGTACCCGCGACGGAAAGCCAGTGGCAGGAGAAAATAAGGAAAAGAACTAGTGTGCTAGTAGGGATGATAGCGCAAGCACATCGAACGGCGCCAGGTGTGTGTGGGGAGTGTAGAACAAGGGTGAAGGGAATGGTGCCCACATCCCATTGCAGGGGCAAGCGATGCAAACAAGAGAAAATCGAACGGCGTGAGTGCCTGTCTTGTCTGACTTGGCGTAGCGCTGGCCCTACGAGAAAGGACAACGAACGGCCATGAACGGTATACGGGAACCTTGGGAAAGGCCATGATGGTGTGTGAGTGTTAGGGTTGGGACGGGCGTGAACACATCCTCGTTTCCTCCATATGGTTCCGTCTGTGCGTCTAGGTGTGTCATCGTCTGTGGGACAATCGGACGGACTTGACCTGGTGAACGGCTGGCGGATGGAGTCAAACGGTCAGGCAAGGCAGTCTGGCTCCAAGGACTGCCGACGAGAGACGAAAGACGCCTTGTTATCACAAGACAATTAAACAAAAGAACAAAAAACTAGAGGCCCGGGATGACGGTGAGCAAAAGCTGGGAAAGACGAAGGAAAACAAAGCATTGATGAGGCACCAACCGTTGACGAGGCTGGTGGGCCGCGTTCTGCTTGGAAATTCAAACGGTCGTGTTCAATATTCCCTGCCTCAGAGCTCGCTCAATCTGGTAACAGGGCAGAAAAAGGCGACAGGTCGATATGGGTCCCTCCCGGTATACAGGGTGTGAGATCGATAGCGCGGCGACCGGCAACAGGGCATCAACGAACGAGGGGCAGAAACAAGAGAAGCATGGTGGAGAGAGCTGTCGAAGTACGATGTAAGTTACCGTCCACTGAAGATGCTCGGAATTGCACTAGCTGCAGTATGTGCGAGGCGTTTTCGCGGCCGGCTAGGCGCAATTTGCTTGCCAATGCCAACGAGCCGTCAGGCTGCCCAGGGCCGAGGCCAAGGTGGGAAACGTCCAGTCCTAGGCCGTTCAGGATGTTCAGTGGATGGGACTCGCTGGCGGACCTTGCAAATAAACAGTTGATTGCTTGCTCTGCCGCAGTGTTGCAACCGCTCAGCCCCACGCGCCGTTTCTCGCTCTGCCCTGGACCCTCTTACGAGGCGTATTTTCGTGCATTTTCTGGCCCAAGCTCCAGCTCCCCTCGTCCAAGATTTTCTTTGTTTCACTGCTTGCCGGCACAGTCATGACGACAGATCCACGACGGTAGATCGCAACGCATGGTCTGGCCAGGAACGGCCAAAACAGCCCTGGGAACTTCTCGTCGAGTTCGATGTGTTGGATCCCGGGCCTTGTGGGGGGGAGACTACTTACTACATGCGACCGAGAGTTTGTGCCGAGACCGTCTTGAGAAGGGTAGCCTTTCGGTACAAAACCGCGAATCAACTGGCAGTGCACACGCGACCCTCAACGACTGCAGGCAGTGAGATGAAGCTTTCTTGTTCTTGTTTTCTTGTTCTTGTCGCTGCATCTCACCAGTACGAGATACGACGTGCAGCGACTGCAGGTCGCAGAGGACAAGTGTATGCCAATGAAGGCCAACAAAATAACCCTGCGCGCACAATGTGTCTTCTTTCCCGTGCGGACCATGGAGAGGCACCAGCACCAGCCACATATTCTCGATGCCTACGAGGATGATAACATTTCCGATGCCTACCTCCGCGGATTGACGGCAGCATGAGTGGCCAATGCTGTCTCGTCAATGTGTTCAAGCTGGTCAGACAGCTCTCTCAGCCGCTCCTCCAACAGTTGCCTGGTGATGTCGTCGATTGTCCGCCTCCAATGACCTAGCACCACGGCATTGACCATCCCAAGTCCACCGAGGTGCGCTTCTGGAAACCGGTGGCCGGACGACAGGACGTCGCACCGCCCAAGTCAAGGCAAGGTAAGCTTCGTGGTTGGCTCGACCTACCTCTCTGTACACCCCCCTCACAACAGACCTGCCGGGATTAGGACACGTTGGAGCGGGTCAGATCATGAGAAAACCAAGATGGATTTTGACTTCTTTTCGCCGAGTTGGTTGTTTAGCCGATCGGAGTATCTGCACAAGCGTGGAGGGAGCAAGGGAGGTCCGTTGTGTCGTACAAGTCACGTCTGTAGGTCGCATTACTTGGCAGCTATTGTGGCAGGACAAACGACCAAGGCTAGAGACAGCTCAGCTCGATGGACGAACGTACACAGCCACCGAGTCTTGGGGCGGCTGGCTTTTTAGCGCAGTGCAGCCCTGGACGAAAGAGCCAATGCGAGGCCACCGTAGCTGGAAGTCGATGCTATGTTGGCTCGTGTCGAATTGCCATTGCCAGAATTGATATTGAGAACAACCCGAAGCGTAATGAAAAGAGGAAACCAAAACGAAAACACAAGACACAAGAGACAGGGCAGTGTTGAGGTGCGTCAGAATATGGACTGCAACATATTGCCTCCTGGTGAAACGCTGTCGGCTGTGCAGCAGGTAATTACACAAAAGAATCCAGGGTGTCATGCTGGTCCAATGCAGTAACCAGCCCAGCCAATGGGGAATGGACGGCTTTGGAGGCTCTGTCTGCACGACAAATCCACCGATCGAGTCGGGATGCACTAAGCACAAAGCGCCAAAAGCATGGGCTCGGTGGGAAAAGAACCAGACGAGGATAGGCCTCAGAACAAAGGAAGAAAGAAAGAATCCCACAGAACTCACAAACATACTCAACATGCGCCCTGATATGCGAGACTGCAAAATGCCAAATTCTGGCAAAATACCGGAGATGCGAAAAAAGGGGGGCTGTTTCTTCTAAACAAGCCATGTGAGGACGTTGCGGAATTATGCCGCTGACTAACGTTTCTCTTCAGCCTCTTCCGAGGCGACGAACTGGGGTAGTAGCTCGGCACTAGCGGAGACCGTGTGATGCCACCCGCGCCGCTGAAACGATTGGCTGCGAAAGCTGTCCTGCCACCATTGCATCCGTTCGGAGTCAAAGGAACGAAGACATCACATCATTCCCCGTCAACGTCCAACGCATCGCTTCTCACCCCTCGCGCCGACATCGCTGCGCAGTTCAATACACGTTCTAGTTGCTGTGCATCCCATGATCACGCATATCTCGAGCTAAAGCCGGCTTCCCGTTCACTAAAACTACACAATGGTACGCCTTGTCGTGGCTGTTTTCCTGTTCCAATTTCTTTCTTCCTTGTTCCTCTCCACTGCCTGTGCTGGTTGCTTTCGGTCTCCCTTTTTGTGCTATGCGGTGCGGGAGACTCTCTCTCTCTTCCTCCGCTCGGTGCTATCTTGTGTTTGTTTGATTCGCTGGGAGGGGCTTCGTTTCGTTGCACCGCAGCCTTCTCCTTAGCACGGCGTGCTGGGGGGGCAAACGTATTTTTGCTAACACAGCCTCGCACACGTGAACAGTCCCTCGATGTCCAGTCTTATGTCCTGGCGGCGCTGACCGCGACCGGCGGCGTCATTGGCTTTGCCAGAACGGGTTCTGTGCCCTCTGTTGTTGCCGGCGTGGCCGTGGGTGTCCTGTGTATGTGACCCTGTTCCTCTGTCCCTGATCTCCTGTGTCGGGCGTCTCGTGTCCTGCACCATCCCGCCTTTGCAATGTAAGTCTACGTGGCTAACATCTCCTCTAGACGGCCTCGGCGGCTTGCGGCAGCAGAACCGCCAGCCGTATGGCGTCGAGCTGAGCCTTCTCGCCTCGGTCGTCCTGGGCGGCGCGTCGATCCCGCGTGCCATCCGCCTGCGCAAGCCGGTGCCAGTGATGCTCAGTCTGATCGCTGCCTACGGCCTGTACAAGTTTGGCAGCGCCTACTTCCGCAAACCATAGGCGATGCGCGCGGAACGAAAGCGACGGGGCTAGATGCGGTTGGATATGGCACAAGTGTTGCAAACAACAGCTACGCTTGAGCAAGTGTTTTTATTGCTTCATCTTTGAAGCGGAGATGTGAGATTCCTCATTTTTGTAGCCTCGGTCCCTGCTGGCCAATGGACAATCTCGATTCGAGAATCGTCCTCTTTCCTGCGACATTCCGAATAGAAAGTTCTCTGCTCCTATCCCTGCAGCAACATAAAATGTGAACCGTAACGCCTTAAGAACATGATTTTATATCCAGAGGGGTGTATCTTCAAACCTCCTTTTCCCCTCAGCTCGCCTTCGATCCTCTTGACCTCCAATCCTGCATAGCCTCCCATCCCACCTCTGAATTCATTCGTCGGTCTCCTTTTGGTCGTCGCATCACGATCGTTTCGTTTAGGCGAATGTCGGTTCGGGATTTGCCCATGGGTAGGCGTAGATTCAGAGGCGGGTATGGCTGGACCCGAAGCCACGTGAACGCCGTGTGGCCATTGACGATTTTGCGTTGTTGCCTCAGTTGATTGTCTTGCCCGACGCATCATGAGTTCTCGTCAATATCCTTCCACATCGCCCGGATCTTGTCGCGCTTCTCCTGTGCTTCCGATCGGTTGGCCACCACCCGCTTCGCCCGCTCGGCCTTGAGGCATAGGCTCAACTTGGACTTGGCGTCGTTGCACATGCCCGCCGCTTTCCACAGAAAGCCCTTCGCGTGGCACTCCTCAAAGGCCGCCATGACCTCGGCACAACCTAGTTCTTGTTAATACCTGGTATTTTGTCTCCGGGGTCCATCGGTCGCGGCGTTTGTTCATGTTCATATATACCTGCGTGCCGCTCGGCATCAAGATGGGGATGCATGGGGGCGGTCTTTGTCTTGGATGCTGTGGATATTGACGTTGTTTGAGAACTTCAGTCTCGAGAAGAGGACGCGGGCATGCAGCGGCCGGCGAAGAGTCGGCACCGGTGTTGCACTCCAAAATTTGTCGCCTTTTCGGTAACGACATTCGTCGTGTGATTGCTGCTGTCCAGTATTTAGTACAAGTGGCGCGACGAGAAACGAAACTCGTATGGGCCGTTGAAAAAGTTGACTGGGGCCAAAATGGGGGCATTCAATTGGTGCGCGCGGCCTAATTCACTGGCGATTGCGCCTGCCAGGTGCCACCTGGGGCGTTACCATCAAAGCCCGACACAGCGCTCCACTTTATTTTACAACTTTACAGCGGGCCTGGCCAACTGCCCCTCGATTTTGTTCCTGCCTACAGAGAGCGAGCTTCGTGACGACATTCACCCTTTTGCACGACATATATGCCGCTGTTCTTTTGGTCATTTTCGTGACGAAACAAAACGCTTCCCAAGAGTTGGCGGACCACTACGCATCCGAACAATGTCGGCGGCTGCTGCTGCAAGCCCGGCGTCCGCGCAGCCGGCCTCGGCCAAGAGGCAGCAGGGTATGTCTCCTTTGGGCTACGTGAACGGTTGAGGTGATGGACACAACGACGCAGAGAAGAGATGGAGGATTGAGGCACAGAATGAGCTGGATGGAAGACTTACTGACGCCGGTCCCGTGCCCCGTTCCTCCTTTGCAGACCTCCAGGTGCAGTACACCAACTACAAGAACGCCCTGCAGCAAATCGTCCAGAAGATTGGCGACGTCGAGCAGGAGGCCGACGAACACAAGCTTGTCCTCGAGACACTCGAGCCTCTGCCGGCCGACCGCAAGTGCTTCCGCATGATCAACGGCGTGCTGATCGAGCGCACCGTCAAGGACGTCATCCCAGCTCTCAAGACCAACGCCGAGGGTCTGAGCAAGGTGCTGGACGATCTGGTCAAGCAGTACAAGTCAAGACAAGAGGACTTGGAGAAGTGGAAGGTTAGTGCTCGCAAAGGGCCCGGGGAGTGTCACCATCGTGGAAGCCAGCCAGGCAGCTAATACAAGTTTGCTCTCTCTACAGAAGAAGAACAATGTTCAGGTCGTGCAATCATAACCTGCAACATTAGCGAAGCACGAGCCGTGGCAGGCCGCAGAACACGACAACGCGATGCTTCTTCATACCATGATACAGCGACAACGTCTTGGTGTTTGAACTCTCTGGAGAGGCCGATGTTCGCGACTGCGAGATGGGGGTCAAAGACATGCGGAAGAACGACAAAGCGATGGCGAAGAACAGGGGACGACGGACAACACACAACGGACAGCGAAGACCTGAGCAAAACGTTTATGCACAATGCTTTGGTCTTGGGCATGGATGGGTTATACGACGTCTGTGGTCGGCCGCCAAGCGAGGTCGTCGTTGCATTGTCAACGATGAGGAATCGGCACGACGTGCCGGCGCATTGGCCATTGTTCGGGTCAAGTGTGACACGGCTGGCTAACGTCGGGATGCGTTGTCCTGTCTCGTGGTGAGAGGAGAAGGCGATGCTGTATCGGGGGCCAAAAGCCAGCAAAGCAACGCCCCCTCTTCTGTTCGCTGTCGGCAAATGCTTTTCGCCTGTCATTCGGTCGTCGTCGTCTTTGCCGCTTACTTTCATGCTCGGAAGGCCTTGTTCACTTCTCTCGTAATATGACTGGAATGATACCACTACATACAGGACCACATCACTGTCCATACATTTTCAAACATATTTGGCATTTCACGCCCATGAAGAGGCCTGGTATCCGGCACTATGAGCACATTGTATGAGCAAAATCAGCACATCAATAAAACTTGTGTATAGGTCTTCGTAATGGCCACCCCGCGGCCAAAGCAGGCCATCCGGATGCCCAACCAGCATTTGGCATTGGGCTGCAAGTATTTTAAAAAGCGACAGCAAGGCCTGTAGAAAAGCCAGCGGCATAGTCGATACACAAAAGACGACCGATTGGGAGGCCATCGTGTGTCTAGGGATCACAAATACCGTCAGTCTTCCCTGCTGATGCCAAATAGCTGAGCCTCGAGACATCGTGGCGAGCCACTAGCCAGCTGGCCGGTACCCCACTTCATCGACGACAACACTTGGATCGTATCCAATGCTGGCCGACCAGACGACAGCGCGCATCGGCATGCACCGAACTCGAACAAGTGCCAGTTGTTCATCGTCCTAGTTCTGCCCTCCTTTATGCATCCTCTAATGCACACCGTGATGCCTACTGCGACTACTGCGCCAACGTCACGCATCCACACCTCGTCTTACCAGGATGTTTTGGGGAGGCGTTTTCTCTCGTCTGTTCTCCTTGGGATACATTGCACAAGCACAGGTCTGCCGGCCGTGGCGAGCGGTCAAGTCAAGCTGGTTCATGAACTAGTTCTGTCCTTCTCCCACCGCCCTATTTCGTCATCGTCCCACAACCCGAAGTAATCTTATCTTGCTCGTCGCTTGTCTTGCCCCCACGGATGCCGAACACCCCGTTCGGGAAAGCGTCTCGTTGGCTTCGAAAAGTCTGACTTCTCGTCGAGGGTTACACACCTGTTCGTTGGCCTCGCTGCACCTGGACAACATTGGCTGGTATCGTTCCTTTGTCTTGTTGTGGCGGTAGCCGTTGAGAAGTGCGACTTGATGCAGCATGGTCTGCCACCTTTTCCTCTCAATTTTGTAAACATAAGCTGATGGAAGTCCTAGATTTAAGAAAAGTACAAAAAAAAAGTTATAAAAAAAAAGCAGCCTGCATCCATTGGACGATCCGTGGTCGGCGCAAAACTCTCGATATTTTGCTTCTCACTCCTCATCTCCCTGCAGCACTGCCAACTGGCGAATGGCGCCCAACTTGCTTCTACATTTGGATCTTCAATCTGGTGCATTTCTGCCCAATGGGATGATATGGTCGCCAGCATGTTCTGTTATTGGACGGCTATCCCGGACATAGTTGGTCTGCGGGCGCAGCCTTACAAACATCAATAAAGAAAATGGAGAAACGGGGCTGGGGTGTGTGAGGCGGGCAATCAGAGACAGACGTGCCTTGTGGTGCCTTTCGGTGCCAGAGCCGGGCCAACTGTAGCGCTGCAAGCCATTGTCAAATCACTTTCGAGGATTTCTCTTCAGAGGATGCGAATGTAAACAAATTCGGAGCCCTGCCAACAACCGGTATATCGAAGTCATCGTGATGGTAACGGCCTTGGGGGAAAAGTAAAATGTCGACGCATCCCTCAGAAACTGAATTACTAGGGCGGCAAAGTCGACATAATCAGGAGCGAGGCGGAGAAAACGACGCAAAAAGAAATAACGGAAAACAGCTCGCAAACCAGGGCATACTCCCATTGCGCCAGGTCATTTCCTTGAGTCTTCCGTTTGCTGTCGCCATACCTCCTTCTCGAAAGCAATAAATCGCCGTCCACGGACGCTCGCGCGCGCCGACAAACATCCCGTAAAGCTCGCTTCATTTTCTCTTACCGCCTCGTCATTCTGTGTTGCCGTCCCTTTAACGTTCGCATATCTTGGTGGGAAGTGGGCTTGATCCTGGCCTTGGCCTCGTTCAGCCTTCACCGCCTCATAGCATGGAATGTCCGTGTTGGCACATGCTGCTGCAATGCCACCCTTCTTTCTCGTTGCTGGGATGGTGCGCGGCCCCCCAACCCCGGTCGAGACTCGAAACCGGTGACGTTGTGAGGAGAGGGAATAAGAGCGGTTACAGAATTTGCACACAAAAGTTTATTACGACGTGCTCAGTACTCTCTTCGATTGCGTTAATTGGGTAATGTCATTGCCGTGACGGCAGTCACAACCACAGCCCTTCCTCGTTCGCGCCTGCCTTTCTGACAAACAGCACAATACGGGATGCGTCTGTGAGGTTGGGGTGGCGGGTCTGTTTTTCAGCCGCTCTTTCCCATGTTTTGCACAGCGCTTTTTCACAATGCAAAAGAAAGCGCTCTTCGTCATGCCAGAGCGATGGAGCTACCAAGGAGAGACCCCACTTGGCAAGGAATGTACATAAAACTCACCATAAACTACAGCATAGAATAAGTACTCATAGCACACAGAAAGTACCAGTCTAGTCTCAGACGCTAAACAACCCGGCAATGTCGAAAGAAACAACGCAAAAGTCTTGTGTTGACATGGGTAATTTGGGTGGGGAGGAAGCAGCAACCAACAGTAGCACCACCACCTTCCTCCTCACCTCTTTCCCCCCCTCCCCCAAGCTTTTCAGCATCACAGCACAACAGCAGCAGCTCGACATACTGACCCGCTTTGCCGCATTCTTTTGTCGTCGTTTCTCGCAACCTCACCAAACCCACCCTTCTCGTCCTCGTTTTGCATTTCCACGCGCCACGCCTCTCTTTCACCGACTCTCTTCGCTCCGCCCTTGCGCTCTGCCTCTCGTCTTGTCGGCATCTGCCAATCGACCCCGTTTCCCACTTCCCGTCGCGTTTTCTGCACTACGCCGAAACCCCACGTCCTTGCAGCGCATCTATATGCGCCAACGCATTCGCCTGCATCTTTAGCCCAACCGGAGACAGGTTTTCCCCGAATACATTGCACCCGGTGGAAGCTTTGCGATTGCAACAGAGGTAAGATACGTGTTTGCCTGCCACCCAAAGGTCCACAGCCCGCGACTTGGGTGTTTCTGGCGTTGGGGCCGTGGCCCATCCGTGTCCCTGCTCTTGTTTGTCTTGCGTGCTTTGCGTGCTTTGATTTGCGCTCGCGCTCTCGTCTCGCGCTGGGTATCGCCCATCGTACTTGTGTCGCTGTCGGACAGCCGTCGATAGGAAGCAGCGCATTGGGCAGGCCTGCGTGGCTACACATCCTCTTTGCCTCTTGTCACGGCGGCCGGGTCTGCTCCCAGAGAATCTGCCGGCGCTGGTCACGCGTGCCAGATGGAAGACAGCTTTCGCGAAGCACGAGAAAGCGCGAGATGCGTCCTTGTCGCGTTCGGCGCTGCGCCACTTGTGTGCCACTTGCGGTAGTGTGCGTCTGGCGTGGCAAGGCTGCAGCTGTCTACAACGGCGGCCATTAAACGCAAGCACGTTAAGCAGGCGCGGTCGTTGTAAGGCAGGGGAAGGAAGGCATTCAATGCGGTTCCTGGTTTGCTAACACTTGCGCGCTGCCGAGGCAGGGTGGTTAAACAGGCTTCATCCAGTTATCACCGCCCACTGGGAACGGGACAGCGAAACAATCGCAGCACGCCCAACGTCAGCGAACCGCATCCACACACAGCCCTCTCAGGCCCTAACGCATCCGGTTCCGTACCTGCGGGAAAATACAGATTCTTCGTGTAGGTAGCCAACCAGTGATATCCCAACTTCGTCCCGGGCCCTTAGTGTAACCGGGCACGCGTGCAGCCCTTGCGGTCTCGGCTTTGGCTTTGTGGCAGGAGTACCGAACAGACGAGAAATGTGACCAAAGAGATGACTGCACGGGCTGACAAAAGAGACACAGAACAACATTATCCAGGGTTCCAAGAGATAACCCCAGCTTTCTGAGGGAACCCAAGTGTTGAGGAGCCTCGAGTAAGTCCGCTTTCTCCACATCCAAAGCGCACTACAGCTTGCGTTCTGCGCAGCTGATGATTGTTGAAGGCAACCAACTGATGCCATAATAGTCCAAATTCCGAGCAGACCGAGAACTCGTTCTCCATTGCCGCCCACAGAGCAACATTTGTGGCCAGGACCCTTCCGGCAACGTACTGACACGAGTACGAGAGAGCACGGCTCAAAATACGACACGGGAACCGGCAGGGTAAGCCAAAGCGCAAATAGAATGCACAAGAATCCAAGATAGGTGGGAGTGTGAAAGGGACAAACTGCTCGTGGGATTAAAAGAAAAGCAAACGAGGGGAAGGTTATGGAAAGCCAGTCCTTCAGGTTTGCAAGACCGCAGTAGAGGCGCATTGCATCCACCTGCTTTTTCTCTATCCTACCCTCTACCACACCCCTGTCCTCTCCCATGCCCACGTTCCAACGCACTCCCACCGCTACGTCTTTGCATGTTCCCAAACAATGCACACGCACCCCCCTTCTCTTAACCCACCACGCCAGCAAACATCGTGTACGAATGAGGCTAAATCAGAAAATATCGGGCAGGAAACCAAAGGATCGGTCAAAACCGACAAGACGTAGAACCTGGAACAGGGCAAAAGCGCTAGTCCCGTCTGACCTGACGCACGTTTTCACCCCGACTCTGTACGTTGCTGCACGTCGAGCGGCCCAAGGAGCGAAAACAAGGCCGCCCATTCCCATTCCTGCCCACCTGCAACGTGTCAGGGACACATCATCTTGCCTAAACACCTGTGCGAGCAAGCAATCCAAGCAATTACAAGAAGCAGCTCACACCCGCTGCAGGTAGCCAAATATGTCCGACTCCCCGCAGTCCAATCCAAAAGATGTCGAGCAGGACGTACAGTCTCCGAACGAGGACGACCAAATGAATGATCCTCAAGACCCACACTCGAGCGCGCTCGGCTACGAGTTCGAGGTGAAGGAGCAAGACCGGTGGTTGCCCATAGCCAATGGTAAGTTGCTGTGCCGAGAGATATGCTTTTGTTGTTGATTTCCTGTCCCCTTTTCTTCTGCATTGTTGCTCGTGTCTCGGGAGATGTTGTGATGCCTCTTCCATAGATGAACGTCACAAGACTCCATTACACATTGTGCAAGGTGCAAGTGTGCCGTGCGAGTGCCTGTACGCTTACAACGAGAACGAGGATGCTGTGGAAGGGAATGTTAGAAAGTGGTTGGATGAACATGGACGGCTGGAACGGATTGGAAGACGTCTCCCTTGGCACTGTTCTCGGCCGAGGGTACGGGCGTGCCCTGTACGAAGGTGCCAGGGAGGGGACTTGCCGCGGTGGTGATACGCGTCCAAATTTGCTTCTATGAGAGCTCCTTGCGCTATCATGCTTCCACGAGGCGTACAGGCCGCAAAGGCACGCACATGCCTTCGTGTTGTACTCACGGCGCGTGCAGCAGCAGGAGGCAGGTGGCAGAGGCAGACAATCAGCGACAACAAGCAGCATGGGACACCCCTGAAAGGAACTCGGACGGATTCGACTATTCTCTCCGTCGGAATTCGTCGATACAGCCCCCAATCGTCCTGCCACAAACGCTCCTGGCTAGATGAACCATCTCGATAAACAGCCACGGGCGCGCAACGACGATTTGACAATCAGGAGCCTGTGTATTGCTTGCATGCGCGCCTTTCTTCCTTTCCACGCCTCTTGTCCGAAGGAAAGAAAACGGCTGGGGAAACGCGTCGCAGCCCTTGCCTCCGAAGCCTGAAGCCTGCAGCTACACCTTGGCCTTTGCACAAATCGCCTCTGCTCCATTCTCCATGTCCCGACAGCGCTCCTCCCCCTCCAAGTCGCCAGGCGAAGGGCGTGGCTTGTCTTCGCGGCTTGACAAGCACGATGTATACGACGCTAACATTCGAAACTTTGCTCCAGTTGCCCGCATCATGAAACATGCGCTCCCAGAGAACGCCAAAATTGCAAAAGAGGCCAAGGAGTGCATGCAGGAGTGTGTCAGCGAGTTTATATCTTTTATCACCAGTGAAGGTAAGACCCATGTGCCCCGATCCGAGGTTGTTCTTTTTGTTTTGTTTTCTTGTCTCCGTTCCGACGGCCCAGTTCGTCATGTTTAACACCAATAGCATCCGAGAAATGCCACCAAGAAAAGCGAAAAACGGTCAACGGCGAAGATATTCTCTTTGCCATGACGTCGTTGGGTTTTGAGAACTACGCCGAAGCTCTCAAGATTTACCTCTCGAAATACCGCGAGGTGCGTACCATGACTCCCACGTTTTATATTTTCGATCAGCGGCCTCCCTGACACCATGCAGTCTCAATCAAATCGTGGAGACAACCAGCAGGGCCGTCCTGGCAGCCAGGGCTTCGGTGCCGCCGGGGGCGCAGGCGCGGCTGGCGCGGCTGGGTTCCAGGGCGGTTCCGAGCTCCCGCCCGCCGAGGGTGGTGCCGATGCGTCTAACTACATGTATGGCGCGCAGGCCGGCCACAACGGATCTGCTGGCGGCGAGGGCGGCTACTAAGGGACGATGACTGTCGACTGGAAGCATCAATGCTCGTTCGTCGTTGTGACAAAGCGCCGTGCCACCGCTTTTAGAGCAGCACGACGCACCGCGAAGCACCACACGCAGCAACAAATCACCTGTTTCTTGCGCCCGCATGCTGGTCATATTTGGTGGCACAGCTATCCCGGTCTCCACTGCCGGGCGCATGTACCAGTAAAACGAAAGGATCGAGGTGGTATGGGCTCACATGTACTTGGATTGGCATCCTACCGCGGCGCGGAAGGATGGCCTGCCTAATGTACACAGAACATTTGGGTTTTATTTGCCTCCTTTTGTTTGTTTTTGAACCTGTCGGGCTCGTTTTTCGTCCGCTACTTCCTTTTCCCGTCTACCTCCTGTCCCCTCCTTGTTGTCGTCCTTTTGCCTGGATTCGGGTTATAACTTTTTGGATTTTCTATTGTCTGCGTCTCCTTCCACCCCGCGTATCCTTGTTTGAGATTGTCCCGCTCTTTATCGTCCCCCTGTATGTCATTACTTCCCCTACCCTGTTTGGGTTGTGGTTTATTACTTTGTCGGTTTTCCTTGTCGGTTCTCTCTCAAGTCAGTCGATAGATTCCCCCAGGGCACCCTACGTTTGCACCAAGGTTCGTGCCATGACGAGATCGCTCTCGAGGCAGAGCCCAGAGGCTGTTCGGTAGTTGCTGTTTTTATTGAATTTGATTTTTTATTTTCGGATTGCATTTGTCGGTCTCGTTGGCCACCTTCCGCCCTCTTTTACCCCACCGTCACAGGCAGATCGATGTTTGGCCCTGTTCCCTCTCAGTGATGCTTTGAAGAGATGCATGCGCATTTCGCCTCATCGATGGATATTGTATGGCCGCGAAAGTGGTGGCCAATTCCCTTTGTGCGACCAGACACGTTGTGGTTGGTGAGGCGATATTATCGGATGGTGAAAAGGCGGCAGCCAAGCCAAGCCACGGTCATGCACTTAGACTGAGCAACTGAAGAAACAGGCGAGAAGGCAGACAGACAAATGGAAACTGCAACCGGGACCGACAGGCAAGGATGGATTCTTTTCTTACACCCTTGTCCACGTGTTCCCGTTGCCTGTTGGATGGTTTTCATTGTTTTGCTGTTGCAGCTTTATATTACGACGAAACGAAACAAGAGGAGTAGGAATAAATGCTGTGTACACACACACGCATCGCCCCCTACGTTCCTTTCAGTTGCCTTTCCCTTGTGGCATAATGCAAAACGAACAGGAAAATCAGAAGCATTGCTGCTGTGCCAAGACTCGTACTCCCAACTTTTTTTTCTTTTCTACCTTCCCGTCGTTGTCGATGTATGCTGCCTTGGTAAGGTGGGCATGAAAAACGATCGGGTAAAGGAAAGCCGGTGGCATCATGAGGCAGACATCTGACTGTACCCAAAATTCGAAAAGAGAAGGGGAGTTGGGAAGGGGATAGGAAGGCCAAAGGGAAAACGAATAGAGAAGCCATTGGTGCTTGGATAGAATATTTTCCTTGTTCACTATATATAATTGCACTGTCTGTGGTATCTATCATTATCCTTCAACGATGAACTCCGATTTTCAACAATGCCAATTCGTCTTCCTATGTTTATGCATTGATATATTTGTTTGTCTGGAACGTCTTATTTAAGTAAAGAAATGAAAAATAAATCAAAATCGAACATATACATGTAAAATACAAGCTTAAGTAAAAAATAAAATAAAAAATAGATTAATTCTTGATGATCGGACGATCGCCAGTACAGTCAGGGTGGAAATCATCATGAGACGTGGTAAACATGTTTGGATACGATGGCCCTCAGTTCACGTCATAATGAGATTGGAGTTGCAAAGTGCCGTCACATCTCGGTGGGACTGACAAAATAATGGCACTAGCACTGGCCCGTAAAATGTCATAGGGGAGATAGTAGTGGGGCGCTGAGGGTCCCCACACGTGACGCCACAAACTAGCGAATCAGCAACAGAGAACGGTCTTGATAGGAAATCGTCTCAAAAAAAAAAAACCATTTCTCCTCATTTTGCTGTCGTCTGCCTGCTTCACTCCGCCATTTTTTTGAGTTCACATAGGCACACTCGACACCCTTTTCTTCTGCCCAACCCTACGACATCATCTCCAACATACCCTGTACGAAGGAACAATTACGTGCTCTGTACAGCCTACAGATCCTTAACCGACAAACCTTCTTTTTTTTTTTCCATTTCTTGTTCGAGACGTCAAAGAAAACAAAACGCCCACCGCCTTTGATTGAGGCAACCCACGCAACAAGCAGTGACGACTTGACCGACAAACCCTGTCGTCACAACCGCCCGCAATACCCCCCTCGAATCCACATGCAGTCTCACCTGGTTCTGGTGCTCGAAACAAGAGGAAGCTGAAGGGGTGTGACAATCGCGGCGAACGCACGGCATCCAGAGCACGCGACACACACCCAAATGACATCGACGCCGATACTGGCCGCCCGACCTTCGGTGACCCGGCTTGTATCGCCGAAGGTCGGTGCGGTCCCATTTCCGGTCAAGTCCATCCTGCGCGAATCGTCTGCTCGGTCGCTGGAGTACAGCCAAAATACGTTGAAGCGGAAAATGGACGACCGCTACGACAACGATGGCCAGCACAGCGCCGACAAGAAGCGTCGTCTGGCGGCCGACGACAGCGACGAGGAGAGCGATGTTGAGGAAGAAGATAATGGCCAAAGCCAAAGCAGCGAGATGCAGATGAAGAAGAGGATCACAGACGCCGAGGTCAAGGCCGAATTAATACGAAATGGAGAGGAGAGTGATGCCACCGGCGACGACAATGATGCAGGGACTGGCACGCCCGCAATGGTGAAGCGGCAGAAGACAGTGCACTTCGACATGAACCTGAACATCACCACGGAGGTCGGCCGTCGCACACTCGAAGAAACCAAGCTGCTGGTACGGCGGGCACTCGAAAGCCACCTTCTTGCTGGTCGTCCTGGCCATGACGACCAGGACTTTATTGAGCTCGTCGATGTGTTCTCCCACGACACTGAGGCGTACCGCGATCCACGGCAAAGCCACCGCCACGGAAGTGCCGACGACGACGAGGGCGAGGGCAATATGGTGCCGCCCGACGAGCTTGTGCTGTACGTGGTGGCTCTTACTGCGTCTGCACCGTTACTGAACAAGTCGTGCATCAATCTGGTGCGCAAGATGCTTGCGTGCTCCTGGATTGGCCGCGACGACAAGTTCTTCAGAGCCTATGTTCAATGTATGTTTTGTTTGCTTTGCTGGTCTTGCATCCCTACCGTGCTACCGTCTGCATCGATGGGTCTAACAATGTTCTAGTCTTGGCTGCCCTCGTCAGTGCCCAAGGTGCCTACCTCCGACCGGTTCTCGAAATGATTGTCGACCGCTTCAAGGAACCCAGCGCCTCGTCTTGGACCGTTCCCGACTTTCCTCCCGTCTCCCGCGAGACCACTCAGAAGAGACTGCACTTTGGCCTCAAATACATGCTGCGGCTGTTCCCGGCTGCTCGGATGCTCGTGTCCAAGCTCGTGGCCCAGAAGTTTCCCTTCCCCGCCGAGTCCAAGAGTATTCACATGTACTACATCGACAACTTGTTGCGGTTGCGCGAATATGCTCCGACCATCGGGCTCGAGATTCTTGAGACCATCACATCGCAGCTCGTCAAGATCGACACAGAGTTCCAACTGGACCTATCTGACATGGACGATGACCTGGCTGCCAAGGTCGTTCTCGAGCTTGCCCGGAAAAACGCCGAGAGAGATGCCGTCACGGCCCGCCGCCTGGACGACGAGCGAGATGATAGCGACGACTCCGACTCCGACGTTGACGAGGACGACGACCTCCGCGCGGATCGCGACGAGTTCGACTCCGACTCGGAAGCCGACGAGACCGATATCCCCCAGTTTGGCGACCCGGACTACAACGAAGAGCTGGCACGCGTCGACAAGTCCACACGGCTGGTGGAGAAACTTGACTCGACGCTCGACCGCCTGTTTGCGCTCTTCACCCCTGTCTTTGAGGATCCCGACTCGGCGGCGGCCCACAGATGTATGGAGGACATGCTGTCCGACTTTGCCAACTTTGTGCTTACGGTGCCCAGTTCGCGCCACACCCAGTTCCTGGTCTTCCACTTCAGTCAAAAGAGCCTGGCGCTGCAGGACATGTTCACCGGCACGCTGCTGAACCTGGGCTTCGAGTCCAACCGCCCCGCGGCCGTCCGGCAATCCGCCGCTGCTTACCTCAGCAGCTACGTGGCCCGGGCCGCACGGGTCCCGCGCGACACTGTGCGCAGCGTGGCGAGCATTCTCTGCCATCGCATCGAGTCCTATCGCCGGCGTCACGTGGCCACTTGCGGCGGGCCTGATCTCCGCCGCTTCCAGGAGCTGTACTCATGGGTGCAGGCACTGCTGTACATTTTCTGCTTCCGCTGGCGCGACCTGGTGGACGCCTACCCGGATGATCTGGTAGATCCAGAGGACCCGGCATCATTTGTCGGCAAGGAGCTCGAATGGATGTCTGGCCTCAAGCATGCACTGAGCAACATCATCTACTCGACCTTCAACCCACTGATGGTGTGCTCGCCGCCCATTGTGGCGGAGTTCGCCAAGCTGGCCCACTCTCTGCATCTCATGTACGTTTTCCCTAGGATCGAAAGTAACAAGAGCATCCACCTGTCATCGTTTGCGTCGGGCCGCTACGGCCATGGCGATGCCCTGCGCGAAGACGCGGGCTACACGGTGGAGGACGAGAAATGGCTGCAGCTCGAGGGCAACTTCCCCTTTGACCCCTACAACCTGCCCATCAGCAAGCGGTGGCTTGAGGGCGACTACGTCTCGTGGACACCGATTTCCGGGTTGGGCGGTGGCGGCGACAGCGACGACGGCGAGAGCGACTCGGACAGCTACGACGAAGACGGCGACGACCGGTTATGAGCAGGGCCAGCGTGGTGGGCCTTGGGGCCGTTGAAATTCCTTGTCCTTTGTGTCTTGTCATCATCTATCTAGCATTGGAGCACTTGTGGGTTTATTTGGCTTCCTCTTTTCCTTGTTGGGCACATATGGCGGCTCCCTAAAAGTGGAATTTGGCGTCTTTGTGTGGGCTTTCCTGCTCTGATCTTTTTGTCCATTTTATTTGCTTTTATAGTATCTGAGCGACATTACGAATGAAACGATATTTCATGGCTTAACATTTGTTTTCCTCTATGCGTTGTTGCGGAGAAAAGGTGGCTGTAAACACATTTGTCCGTCGTAAGAATCGTTGATTAATGGAATCTGGCAGTGGCAAAATTTTCACCCCGTAAACGCGTCGGTCGATATGCTCGACATCATACGACGGAGTAGATAAACATGCGTAAGATTCTTGTTTTTCGCTGGCGAACGAAAACACGCGTCTACGAGCAATTAACTGCCATCAGTGTCGATGACTAACCGGCTGGGTTAACTCAGCACGTGATTACAATGGATTTTTTTTGGGGAGAAATGTGACGATGGTCGGAAAGTGCGATGATGGTTTGAATTGCGAAATTGAACATCAACGCGCTGGGTAGGGAAGTTGCCAGCTTGCATCGCTCCTTCCCGCATGGGGATGTATACAGGAAGTGCATTGGTAGCTTCTTTCTTCGTTCGTCGCCACGCTTCCCAAAGCGGAAACTACAATTCCAAACACTTTCATTCCGACATCCCACAAAAAAACGGAGAGAACACTAACGGACGATTTAGCGATCCTTCAACAACTTGCTCAGACAACAAAGGACAGAGTGCCCCAGCCCTGCCCGGCGGTGCGGCGTCGCCCTTCAAGTTTGAAAGGAAGGCGGAGCATGGGGCTGTTAGCCTCCTCTTTTTTTACGGGACCCCTCATTCGTCCACAGCAAACAATGATTCCAAATATCTACAGCAAAGACTGAGGCAAAGCGAGGGAGAAGGAGTCAAAAATACAGACAAAATCACTGACAGCCGAAAACAGTGTTTCCTCATCGGTTTGTCGCGCATCTCGCTCAATCAACCTCCTCTTTCCCCAAACGAAGTGATTGGCGCCCCCGTCCACCCTTCTCACGTCACGACGAACGTCTCGGTTCCTCCGTCTTGCCAGGCTCTCGTTTCTGGCCGTTCTCGGGAGCACAAGACAACATACGCATACACACGCCCCTTTGTGCCCAGCTACACGGTCATAGTATCGTTCAACCCGTACCCATACGCATATCCATCACCGTAACGATATTCCAAGCCCGTGCTCCTAATATGGATTCATCTCCGTCATCACCTTCAGCGCCTCCAGCACGGCCGTCGTTTTCGTCGTTTTGGAAACGTACTAAGGACGCCGCGACGGCTACGAAACAGGTGGTTTTTGTGCCTATCGGTAGGTTGAGAATACGTGACTCTTTTTATCCCTTATTGCACCGGTTTTGTCTGTTGCCTGCGTCATCTACTGCTTTGTTTGTCGGTCGTGTATGTTTTGTATGTATCCCGTCAATTAGACGGCGCTGGACACGGATCTGCATCTAGCTGGCCTCTGTTAGCTCTTAGCAGCTCTGAACAGCTCGGGACAGCTCCGTGTTCAGCTGAATACGGAAGAAGTTGCAGAAAACAGTTCAGAGCAGGTGTTCATTGATGGAACGGGAAAATTGTTTCTTGTCTCTGTTGGACATTTCTCTCTTTTGGTTGCGTCCGGCCCTCTTGCCTTCCGAGTGGTGGCAGGGACTGTGATTGCTCCGCATTGCACGATATGTGGTCAACATGGACGATGCTAGTCTCTGATTCTTCCCGCCTTTTCTTACCGGCCCCCTTCTAGCTGCATTTTCTTTTTTTGCTATTTCCCCGTCTTCCCCTGTTGCCTCTTCCCGTGGTGTACCGGACTCGCAAAAGATTTCAAAGGATTTGTCATTGCCCATTCCGGACCAAGCACCGGCTGCCCTACGCGCACCTTACCCACTGAACTTCACTGCCATTGACCCGGCACCTCCTTAACGAACGGAACTCTCTTCCAAGACAAGAAAAGAGGACGAGGGAAGACTCTCCGAAATCGAGAATTCAAATCACGAGGTAGAGCCACAGCTATCCACCCCTACCCCAAGCAAAGTTTGCCGGACAGCATCCCGCCCTTTTTATGCTCCCAAGTGGGTTGAGCTAAACCACTACAACGCCGTGATTTGAATACATCTCGGAGAGTGGGTGGTGGAGACCGGTTTATAAGTTACCATGGGTACATTCCATGCGATTTGTTATGACGAATTTCGAATCTTATCTTGGCTAGCCTGGCCTCCTGCATGTGTGTCACGCGGCCTGGACAGGCAATGATGCACAGGGATCTCTCCATGGCCAATTGTGGGCTGCGAACCTGCATGGCATTGGGAAATGCTATGAACTGATCAGGAGGAGACCTTACCCTTGCTGAGCCAAGTGGACTCTTTATCATCTTCTGCCCTGTCTGCCCTGTTCAAACCTCGGTCTGTGTTTGCCATCTGGTAAAGACGAGGCATTCATTTCTTGTTGTTGATATATGTACGCGAAACTGAGCCGTGTGGTCTCTATCAGCAGCTTCCGCGACATGCACAGGACCGCTCAGTTTCCGCATTTGGCTAAGATGGGCGCGGCCTGCATAGAAGAAGCAATGTTCGGGCGACACCAAACGCCTTGTACTAGACGGAGGCTGGAAGGAGTCAAGCTTAACAACGGAGGTTGACCACTCCAAAACGGAGCAGACAAATTCAAATTGGGCAGCAAGGAGGCATCGTGGAACCATCAAGCACAAAGAACACACCTGTTCAGAGTTGTGAGGAGTTACAGATGCCACGACCGCAGAAGCAGTAATAGCAAGATTCCAGGCTAAAGCTCTCTGTGTGGAATTATTACAGGAAGGGAGCAATATATGACCATATGGCCAGTATGGACCACGAACGATCCCGAATGGCCCCAAACGACTGGCAGATATGCTGGGCCAAGTTTACAAGTGTATTCCAGCGACCTGAGTTGGACAGCCAGTCTGCGGAGCACGGCTCTCTGGAGATGGGTTGGCGTTTGTCTTCTACTTCTACCGTGTTTTTTTGGTTGATTTGTGGTATTTGCATGCTTTTTTATACCTTGTCTGTTTTCTGTAATATTGATTTCATTTTCTTTCCATTTTGGGACGTCTGACGCCAGGATGCGTCCAAGTTTGCAAAGTCTCAGTTGGATTGAAGGATGGAATCATAAAACCACAGGGGCATATATGGAAGCGTACCCTGCGGCATCGTGGCAGTGCTAGGCCTCTTCTGCACGTTCTTCTTACCGTCTTGCGTCCCCCTACATTTCCGCTTCCTATTCCTTCGGTCGTCCTTACATTTCTCCCTATGCCCTTCTAGCAACAGGCCTTTTGTCATCGTTCATGTCACACAGTCTCGCTACGTGGTTGTGGCTTCCCTTTTCGTCTTGGCTTTGTAGCGCTGTTGTTGTCTTTCCGTGTTGATCAACCTCGCCGTCTCTTCGTTCAATGATCTTTTACTATCCCATATAGTCCCATACTATCGTACCTTATTTTTTTTGCCTGCGTCTTGGTATTTAAGACGGCTGGACACTGCCTTTTTCTCGTCTGTTTTTTACTTCCTTTCCTTTTTCGACATGATTTATCAAGCATCCCAACAAAGCCAACAAGCTCAACAACAGTTGGTCTCACCCAGCAAGACTAACACCAGCAATCAACTTACAGTACCTCGCATCAGCAAGTCCCGCGCAAAGAAACGCACCGGCAACACGAAGGACACCAAAACACCCGGCGACGATAACAATAACCAAAATGGTGGTCGCAGTAGTTCTAGTGGCCGCAGTTGTGGCGGTGGAGGTGGCGCGGAAGAAGCGTCACGAGCACAAGGTGAAGAAGGTGGCACGTCTTCGGGCGGAGCAGAAAACACAGATTCTGTACATGGGGGAGGAAGTGGACCTCAGCAGCGCACCGCCAAAGAAAAGGCTCAGATTCGGCGGGCGCAAGTCCGACGCGCCCAGATCCAACACCGAAAGCGAAAGGCAGACTACATGCGCCAACTAGAGCTCGACATTGACATGCTGCGTGACCTGATCTCTGCTGCTGAGCAGGACATGCGCACCATCCAGAAGGACAACGAAGCCATCCGCGTCCAGCTCGGCGTGGTCCACATGATCAGGAACGACCGTGGCGTTGTCAATGCCGGAGGTGGAATGGTGGGCGTCGCACCGGAGGGCGTTGGCGGCGGCGCTGGAGGAGGAAGAGGAATCGATACAATCATGACGGGTGTGCCGCAACTTTCCATCACCCCGGCACCGCCTGTGCAATTGCCTGCAGAATCTACAGCAGCAGCAGCCACTAACAGCGTTGACAACGTGGCCGCATCCTTGTCGCCCTTGTCGATCTCGTCGACCGATGGGTCGGCCTTCCCGAGCACGACCGCTACCTCGCCCGGCGGCACCGTCAGCAGCGGTCTCGAACCCTCTTCGAACATAGATAGTCCCACGTCAATTTTTGACGGCATCGACCTCGACGACATCACCGTCAGCATCGTCATGGACGAAGCCATCGGCAACCCGGTCTACCAGATCTCGCCCTTTGACCCTAAAGCTAGCTGTGCAGCGACGGCGACGCCTGAATTCGATCCATCGCTCACGGACAAGAACAGCAGCGGCTTCCCAGAAGCGCCTATTGCAGCAGTGTCGCCACTTGACCCCGGCTTCACGCCCAACTTTTACACGGATCTTGCTGCTGCGCCTTTCGACAGTACGACTCTTGCTGGACGTGGCCCAAGTCAATTCTCTGCAACGACCTACATTCTGCCGAACCTGACGGTTGCCCAAACGCACCAAGTCGTCAACTTTGTTCTTGCGTAAGTCTCTTCAGTTGCGTTGATATTGGTTGTATAGCACAAAATGCTAACCATCCCTAGGCTGGAACACGTCTGCTGGGGTCATGCTGGTCACCAGTTCCACGAACCCGATGCCGAGATCTGTGCCGACACTGGTCACGCCTTGATGGCCACAAACCTGTTCCTGCGTGAAGCACCCTCGGATGTCTTTTCGTCCATCGAGACGTCCGCCAAGGACATGACAGCCTTCATCACCAACACGGACCCGGAGAACCCGGCGTCGACCGCCAACCACATGGCGGCGCACCGAGCCTCGCAAGGCCTTACCTGGCAGGCACCCGACGTCACGCTGCAGACACTGTATGGCCTTGCCGTCTCGCTCAACCCCATCTCCGAGATGGAGCTGGCGCCCGTGCAGGCCTGGTTCGAGCTCGCGGCTCGCTACCCGCTGTCCATCCTGCTGCGCGTCGACATCCTCAACGCCCTCAAGCGCGAGTTCGTCGGCGTCGTGCGGTGTCTGTACTTTGGCGCGGTCATGGAGCGCGAGGCCTTTGAGAGTGTGGTGCAGCGGGTGGTGGACCCCGTGATGGCCATCGAGGAGAAGGCTTGTGCGGTGCACTCCTTTATCGGTGCTGCGCCTACCATGGCGGCGCCTGTCACGGTTTCGCCAAAAGACCTGACCATCGGTGCTCCAACAATTGAGGACCACGACTTTGCGACGGTACGGTGATGCATGGAGTGATTGTGGTTGTCAGTTTGTATCCCATTTTTCTAACAATGTTTTCTTCCTTTCTGCCTTTTTACGTTTGCTCTGGTCTCTTTCTCTTTTCATTTTGACGTCCTCTCCTTTGTGTTTGAATCTTTTTTTTGGGGGGGGGCGGGGGGGGGGAGGGGGATTTTTTTGTCGAATTTCTTCGAATTGTTCACTTTTGTTTGGGATCTCACGGTTGCTTTTTGGGTTATCCTCACAAAGAGAGGTTGGTTTTGCATCTAATTTTGATAACATTAATTCTATCCTGGATCTTTCGTACAAACGGTAACCAAACCGCGCAATTCGTGCCATAACCACCTTCACACCAACCCGAAACGCCGTGTCCATTGCCAGGAGCTCTTCGTATACATCGTGTAATCCATCCGCCAACATTATCCTACAGCGAAAACAGGATATCAATAAACCCGTGAAACGCCTGTACTGTATTCTATCATACACCGTTTTATGGCGGGTAGTCGGCGAAGCCGGCCGACTCGCCGTCGCGGTTCATCAGGTAGCGGTAGCGGTCGGGCTGCTCCAGCAAGAAGCTGGGCACGTCTGTGTTGTTCGCAATGCGGTCGTATACCTCGGACTTACGGTCCCACAGGTCCAGGCCGAGGCGCACATGGTGCGCGGCGCGCTCGCGGTTGCGGAAGAACTCGTGGTTCATCCACACGTGCGACACGCTCTCGAGCTTGTGCATGAGCTCACCCATGGTGGCGTAGCACGACGAACAGTGCCAACCGGCGTTGGGCATGTCGGCCGTGTCCCGGTAGCGCGCCAAGGCAGTAAAGGGTGAAAAAATCAGCTGAAACACGCGGCCGAGCATGCTCGTGGCGTCACCGCCACGGCGGCCGTCGCCGTTGCGCAAGTTGACGGGCAGTACGGTATTGCCGGGCCCGTCGTAAAAGGTGGCCTGTGGATGCGGCCACTCGGGGCCCTGGTGGCGGAACTGGAAGCTGTAGTAGTAGAACTGGCTCCGCAGCGTCAGACGGCGCGGGAACTGGCAGAGGCGAAGGGCGCGCAGCGTCTCGGGGCGAGGGATTTCGTCGACGTCGGCGACCACGAGAACATCGTGCTGACCCGGGAGGGCATCGACTGGCGTGCCGCCGCCGGGTGTGCTGTGGTCAAACCTCGTATCGCGGCTCGCCACCGTGGCACCAGGACCCAGGACCTGTAAGAACATGGCATTGCGTTGCAGGTCCTCGCGGTCCCAAGCGCGCTGTGGATTGAAGTTGGCTGGGTACTGCAGCTCGTGGTAGAGCATCTTTTGGTGGTAGGGCGCGAAGCGGCCCCAGTTGTCGCGGATGGTCAGTGGCTTGTCGAGCCCTGTAAACGTCTTGGCGCCCTCGACAATGACAAAGTAGTCAACCTCATGGAACGTGGTGTTGAGGCGGATCTCGAGCCAGTCCAGCTCGGCGTTGACCATGCACAAATCGTAAATTCTGCGCGGTCGTCCTGGGGAACCGTGGACAGGCCGGGAGACAAACGGTCGCCAGCCATGTGCCTTACAGACGGCCTCTACGGCGGCTAAGCTGCCAGTGTCGCTGCCTCCATTGCCCGCTGGCCCCAGGTCGTAGACACCAGGACCGGCATCACTGCTCCACAGGCACCAGGTCACGATGAATCCGGCCAGGACAATGACGAAGGTTCTCACGGCTCGAGCAGGGCCGAAAGGAGCAGGCATCAGACGGCGCATCGCCTGTGTCCGTTCCTAGGTTATTGTCTTTAACACTGCCCCAGTCCCTTGGCACTCGTCGCGCTCGGCCCCAATAGGCAGTCAGCGACTCCAAATCAACCCCAAATTGCCACGTTGAGTTGAGCTTCTTTCGGCACAGCGCGCTTTGTGGTGTTTGGTCTTACTGCCAAGCTTTTGGACGCAACCATAAAAAAGCGGGCGCGGTTGCGTGTGTCGAATTACGAGGGGTGGAGAATGGGGGTCGAAAGGCGCGAAAAAGAAGGATAGAATCGACGGAAACTCGTGCAAAGGGTCCAGTGCATCGTGATGGTTTTGAGAGAACAGCTGGATGCTTTCGCTCAGGGATAGAGAGAAAAGGACCACCAAGACCAGATCGGCGTAAAAATACATAATTGGAAGCAGCCACCACGGCGGCACAGGGTGTAGCACGCCATGCCTTCCTTGTAGAAAAAGTCGCGTGCAAAATATAGTAGTAAGCAGAAAAGCCTGTGGCACCAGCATGTGAAGAGAGGGAAAGAGCCAACGGCAGAAACGAGTGGCTATGTAGGATTTAGGGGGCTAATTACTGAGTATCAAGTAACGGCAGGAACGACAGCGATAAGGACACACAGAGTTAAAAGTGGCAAGTGCGGGTTGGAACAAGGGTCGTCATTTATTAGCAAGATACGCTCAGGAAAGCGCAATGTTGCTCTAAACTCTACACGTCGTGGATTGTGTTGCACCCGCGCTCTTTAACCGAGACATGCTTCCAAACGAGACAGGCGACACGGAATTGCTGCCTCGCAGACGCACGTTGACAGCACTTTGAATGTTGCCGTTGGTGACGTTCAAGATGTTTGAAGCTCGCTCTGTCTTGTCCTGCCGTTGTGTCTCGAGAACTCCTCCGTGACTAAGCTATGATTTCTTCGGAAGCCTTTGCAGGATATGGGGATCGCACGGCGCCAGTGCATGTACGGTTATGTTATCGCCGCAGACGAAGGGACGTTGTATAGTTGAAAGAAAGTGGTAGTTGTGTCGCGATCCCGTTGCGTTCCCCACAGCTCTTTCCCCGTTATGCCCGGCGCGCCCCCCCACTTCTTGCCCAGCCAAGGTGCATGTGCGTTTGCTTGATTTGGAAGGCAATACTTTGAACGCGCGACCAATCCCGCAGATGCGGTTTCCGTTTCCATGATTTCACCATCGCCTAGGACCGGTGTCTTGTGTCGTTCTTGCCAATTAACGCTCCCACAACTCCGCACCCCTCCTTCCCGATGACTCGAACACCGGTAGTTCGCGGCCTTGGCAGGTGGAAGGCGCCTGCCAGCTGGCAAACGAGTCTTGTAACAGGCCGGTTTTCGGGTACGTTGTGTGCCATAGCCCCGTTCGTTTGCTGCATCCTCGCCCTCGCGCGGCCTGAAAGCTATGAGCCATTGTGAATCATACGAGAGTGGACGACAACTGACGGGCGGCTCTTGTTCCAGCATCTGTGCCGGCGGCACGACGGCAAGCAGCACAACGCGAATCCTGCCAGAAAAAGTTAAGGTCCGGCCTCGGTGAGTTTACCATAACGGTTTATGGAATCCAACTGATTTCGTGCGTCTTGGGTCTGCAGACGCACATTCGTATATAATAGGCCGGCAACGGAGCTACTCTTCTATCGTGTGTCTTGCCTAAGTAGGACCACCGGGATAACTAACACCCTTCAGATACTACGAACCGCCGACTCTTTCACACTTCGCCGAACCGACGACAGCAGTCCAACATGGCCGCACAGCCCGAGACAAGATGGGTCGGCAGCGCCGGCGCGGGCAGCTTTGACTTGCGAAGTAGGTATCCCTTGGTGCCGTACAGCACGACATGCATAGTAATATATATACATATATTGTATAACTCGTCTGACGTCGATTTTCTTATCTCTTTAGGCGACGTGATGACAACGCCCACAGCGAACATGCTGGCGGCGATCCAGAACTGCACGCTGCTGGACGACGTGTTCCGCGAGGACACGACTACCATCGACCTCGAAAAGCACTGCGCCAAGCTGGCCGGCAAGGAGGCCGGCCTGCTGGTGCTGTCGGGCACGATGGGCAACCAGGTGGCGCTGCGCACGCTCCTGAAGCAGCCGCCGTATTCGGTGCTGTGCGACCGCGAGTCGCACATTTTCAAGTACGAAGCAGGCGGTGTGTCGTCGCTGACGGGCGCCATGGTCCACACGGTCGTTCCCAAGAACGGCATCTACCTGACGCTCGAGGATGTGCAGGCCAACGCCGTCACAGGCACCGACGTGCACGACTGCACCACGCGCGTCATCAGCCTCGAGAACACCATCAACGGCGTGCTGATGCCCCTTGCCGAGGTGCGTCGCATCGCCGAGTGGGCGCGGGCCCACGGCATCAAGATGCACTGCGACGGCGCGCGGCTCTGGGAGGCCGCGGCATCCGGCGCGGGCAGCCTGGTCGACTTTGCGGCGTGCTTCGACACGGTGACGCTGTGCTTTTCCAAGGGCCTGGGCGCGCCCATTGGCAGCGTGCTGCTTGGCTCGGCCGACGACATCCGCCACGCGACGTGGATCCGCAAGTCCATTGGCGGCGGCCTGCGCCAGGCCGGCGTGATTGCCGCGCCGGCGCGCGTCGCCGTCGACGAGACGTTTGGCACGGGCCCCAACGGCGAGGGCGGCCTGTTGCGGCACACGCACACGCTGGCCAAGGAGATGAGCAAGCTGTGGACGGACCGGGGCGGCAAGCTGCTCTACCCGGTGGACACGAACATGATGTGGGTGGACCTGGAGGCGTCGGGCCTTGGCTATGACGACATATCGAAGCAGGCGGAGGCCGAGGGCCTCCGGATGCTGGGCAACCGGATGGTCTTCCACTACCAGATCTACCAGAACCGGGAGGTTGTTGTTCCCAAGCTGGAGCGAATCTTTACCAAGGTTCTTGCGGGCAGAGCGGCCGCTCCGGGAGTGTCGGTCTCGGCAGGTGCTAAGTCGATGTACCAGACGTAGCAGCAGTAAGAACGAGTATACTAGTCAATTGACGGTATGCACAGAATTGTATGCCTGCCTCAAGATGTATTACCGTGTTCCAGCAATCGACGGTCATCCAGGCGACACAATGCATGCCTTTGCTGATTAGCGGAGTTTGGCCCATTCCGCTGTAGGGTGGGTCTTTAGCGCTAATGTATAGTGCCGTTGGCGCTCCTTTTCAGCGCTGACGTGGGTAGGCAGGCAGGGCTGTGTATGGTGGGCTCCTTCCCCAAAATCGCACACGGTAAGATAGACTTGGGACGGTCGCCCCACCACAACAACGTGCCCACTTACAAACAACACAATAACCAAAGTCGCACATCAGTGTGCAGCAAGCACAGTTCTTGTGACACCATAGACACGCCTCCTGATGGTCTCACTCGTGACAGGACCGGACGAAAATACAGGATATTGTGACTGAGACTGTGCCGCTCCGCCACCGCCCACCCTGGCGTTCCCTGCGGCGAGCTCTCCGCCGACTCTGGCCACAGCTCCGGGGCCTCCATTATCTCCATCTTCATCATCGTCTGCGCCCTCGTGCTCGTCGCAGCTGCCTCCACCACCGACGGCGGTCACCGTTCACGCTATGAGTGAGCTGCAGCGCCGGTGGGCACGGGCCAAGATGGACGCCCATGTCGGCAGCAGCGGCGGCGGGCGCCTTGACGAAGAGGACGGGGAGGCGAGTGGTGGCGAGGTTGGTGCTGCGGACGGACGTGCATCCTTTGACGATGACTCGGCCTCGTCAGCGTCGTCCGCATCATCGGCCGGCACCGTCGTGCCGTCGGCCAGCCAGCATCTTTTTGCCCGGCCACAGGGCGGTCTCTCGCGTGGCCGCGGCGGCAGCACAGGCAGCAGCAGTGGTGGCCGGACGCTGGAGCCCATCGCCTGGACGGCCTTTTTCGAGCGCGAGCTGTTCCTCGAGGCCGACGACGGCAGCGGCATCGTGCACCACGCCTACGTGACCTCGCCCACGGGCGGCGGCCCTCTGTTTGTCATGCACCACGGCGCGGGCTCGTCGGGCCTCTCGTTTGCTGTCGTCGGCGCCGAAATTCGCAAGCGGCTGCCCGCCGCCGGCATTCTGTCGCTCGACGCACGCGACCACGGCCTGACGAAAGCCCCGGGCGACCTGGGCACCGACTTGAGCCTCGCCACCCTCAGCAGCGACTTGCTGGCCGTCATCCGCCTTGCCCAGGCGCAGATGCACTGGCCCGATGCGCCGCCTCTGGTGCTCGTGGGCCACTCGCTGGGCGGTGCCGTCGTCACCGACCTGGCGTATTCCGGCCGCCTGAACACGACGCCCACCTCGTCGCCGCTGCTGGGGTTTGCCGTGCTGGACGTTGTCGAGGGCTCGGCCATGGACGCGCTGCAGAGCATGCAGACGTACCTGGGCACGCGGCCGCCCGGGTTCCCGACGCTGGAGAACGGCATCGAGTGGCACATCCGGTCACGAACGGTCCGCAACGCGACATCCGCACGGACGAGTGTTCCGGCGCTGTTGGTCGACGGCAGTCGCGGCGGCCAGGCGGGTGGCTCAGATGGAGACGGCCACGAGGACAGGACCGAAACAGGCGCAAGCAGCACATCTATATCCGAGGACAGTGCACAACCATCGTCATCGGCGTCTACGACCGACGGCTCTGACGCGAAACGCCGGAGATGGCGATGGCGGACGAACTTGGGGGCGACACAGCCGTTCTGGGAGGGCTGGTTTGTCGGGCTCAGCAAGAAGTTTTTGGGCGCGCGCGGCGGCAAGTTGTTGCTGTTGGCCGGCACAGACCGTCTCGACACCGAGCTGACAATTGGCCAAATGCAGGGTGTGTATTGCCCCGTCCACGATGCGCCTGCTACCATTACGTCGTGTGCTAACCTACCCAGGAAAATATGCTCTGCAAGTCTTCCCCGAGGCGGGCCACTTTATCCACGAGGACCTGCCCGAGAAAACGGCACTGACCCTCGTCGACTTTTACCACCGCAACAACCGCGGCGCGCTGGTTCTGCCGCCCAAAGTCTCGGAGCTGCTGGCGCAGGGCAAAAAGGTATAGCCTAGAGACGAGGGTGTGTTAGGTTTGACAAAATACAGCTAGAACAGGTACAGGAATACAAAAGAGCAGCACGAGACACTTTGTTCCTGTAAACATCAGTTGAAAAAGCCTTGGATATCGTGAAATATGTAACGTAACGGAAATAGCGAGCTGGGAAGTCTTGCCCAATCGCTCTTCACCCTCCCTTTTCTCTGTCACCCATTTTCCGGTTCCCATGTAAATGCTGCAAGACAAAGTAAAGCCAAAAGACACAAAGCATAAAAATCAAACAAAATTCATAATAATAAAAAAACCCAAAATGCCGCATGCTGCCACTGTTCTAAGCTGCAATCGCGGCAGCTTTTTGTGGCAGGGCTTCGGTCGTCACTACAGCCGCAGTTGCCGCTGCTGCCGATGCTGCTGGGCCGCGCTCCGAGAGGTTGCGCTTGTGCTGCTGGTCCGAGGACCGTGCCTCGGCCATGTTGCCGCCCGCCGCGGCTGCGGACGCGTTGGCGTTGGCGTTGGCACCCTGCAGCCGGCGGGCCTCGTTCGCCTCGGCCTTGCGCTGCCGCTTTTGGCGCTCCAGCTCCTCCTTGGCTTTCCGCAGCGACACCGGGTCGATCTCGAGCGCCTCGTCGACCTCGCGCGCCTTGTCCATCAGGTGCGCGTACCCCAGCGCCGCGCACACGTCCGAGTAGCTGTGCCCGCGGAACATGCCCACGGCCTCGGCGTGCCGCCCGGGCACCAGCTGCGCCAGCAGATACTTGGTGTTGCCAAACTTGTTGCCGACATCGATGGCGTGCCGCAGGTACGACTCCACCACCTCGCTCCACTCGGCCCGGCCGCCGTCGGCCTTGCTGCGGAAGCAGCTCGAGTTCTTTTCCGCGGCCGTCGCAATCATGGCGCCGTCCACGCCGTACTCGGCCATCAACTCCAGCGCCTGGTCGCGCGACGTCACGTCGCCGTTCATGAGACACGCCACGCCCGCCTCGTGGCAGACAGCGCGGATCATGGGCAGCTGGTCGCGGATGGCACGCTCGCGCGGCCGCATCGGCGTCGTGCGGCAGTGCACCGTCAGGCCGATGATGCCAGTGCGCACGAGCCGCCGGACGAGGGCTTCGGTGGCCTTGGGGTCTTTTAGAATGCGGATCTTGACGCTGATGCCGATGCCGAACTCGGGCACAATGTTGGCGACGAGCGCCTCGAGAATCGCAACCAGCTTATCCGGCGTCTTGAGCAGCGCCGCGCCCATGCCGCCATCGGTTGAGAAGGACTTGGGGCAGCCCGCGTTGACATCGATGCCCGCCACGTCGGCGGCCACAATCCGTGCGGCCTCGACGGCCCGCTCGGGTTTGCAGGTGCCCATCTGATAGATGAGTTTTGAGCCCTCGCGCTCAGGGTGCATGCGGAAGATGATGGAGGGCTTGACGTTCTCGCCGCTGTTGGACGGCAGCCGCGACCACTCGATGCAGCCGGTGCGTTCGTTGACGCGGCGAGTCGTGCCGATCATGGACTGGTCGATCGTTTCAGGGCCTGTGCGGGAACAGTGGTTAGCAGGACGCTGCCATGTATGTTGAATCTCGCCTTGCACATCGTCCTATATCCCGTCCCGCATTAACTCACCCCATACGAGGTCGGCCCCGTACTGCAGCGCCAGCAGTCGTGACGGCAGCTCGCCCGAGCGCACCATCGGCGCAAGGACGACTTTGTTGCGGTAGTCCACCCCGCGCGGGGGGATGGGAACACGTGGGACGGCCTCGGAGGTCATTATGGCACGAAAAAGGCGTCTAAACATATCATCGAGAGAGTTCGTCGTGAAGGGGAGGTTAAAATGAGTGGCCGTCGAAAGACAGAGGCGGAAGACGAGAAAGACGGAGAACGGACTTTTCTCAACTGCGACTAAACATTTTGGACTGGTTCTCGAATTTCCCGTTTGGCGGCCATCCTTATCGCTTATCGGAGGAGGGAGGCGAACTGATTATTAGGAAGGAACGAGCAGAACTCGACTAAAGTGGTCACATGACCGCGCGACCGCGACGCGGCTGGCTGCCCTGGGCGTCCCCTGTATCCACTCAACCACAGTAATTACCCTGTTAGTGATGTTGATGCAGTGAACTTCAGCCTCAAACTTGAGGTGGACGACAAAGCACAACAACCTCCTGATTGAATATTATACGCACGTTTTGAGTTCCACAGCGCACAAACTTGTTCACAAACTCACACACTGGCCCTTTACACTCGCCCATTGTTGACCGCGTTCCGGCCGTGGTTGACGCCGGCAGCCATGTCCCTTCCCCTTCGCCAGTCTCCTCGAAAGGCCAAGACTGCGTCGACAGGCGCTGCTGCTGCGTGGAACACGCTTCTGTCAGGCGGCAGAAAGAAGCAGACCATAAGCACAACGACTGTAGTGGCAGCGGACACGCAACCATCAAACATGGCGTCACGGGGCCGGGGCAGACCACCAAAGTCGGCGGCAGCCGCCGTGACCGAGATAACCACTGAGACAGCAAACACGACCAAGACAACCAAGACGGCAAAAGTGACGACGACGCGCGTAAAGGAAGAGGAGGTGTCGCCGGCCAAGGTCTCAAAGGTATCCAAGACGGCATCCGCCGTCAAGACGGCCGCATTAAAGCTCGCCACCAAGGCCAGTACAGCATCACTGAAGCGCAAGGCCAAGGACGAGCCGGAGGACGAGGACGATAGCCACGGACCCGAGGTCAGGGCTGCGATCAAGGCTGAGGAAGACGTCTCGATGAAGGCAAATGTTGAGGACGTCAAGGGGGCGGCAGCTGCCAAAACATCCAAGGCCACGAAACGGGCCAAGACCGCCGACGATGCGCCGCTGGCCGAGAGGACCGACGTGGCCACACTCAAAAAGGCCATGTACATTGGAGCCCACATCAGCAGCGCCGGCGGCGTCCAGAATGCCGTGCCCAACTCCGTGCGCGTCGGCGGCAACGCGTTTGCCCTCTTCCTCAAGTCGCAGCGCAAATGGCAGAACCCGGCTCTGGCCGACGACACGCGCGACGCGTTCCATGCCGCCTGCGCTGAGCACGGCTACGACGCCGCACGCCACTGCCTGCCCCACGGCTCGTACCTCGTCAACCTTGCCCAGCCCGACCCGGCCAAGGCCGACCAGGCGTACACCAACTTTGTCGACGACCTGCGCCGCTGCGACGCCCTGGGCATTCGCCTGTACAACTTCCACCCGGGCGCCGCTGTGGCCGGCAGCGGCACGCGCGAGGCGGCGCTGGGACGCATTGCCGCGGCCCTCAACCGCGCCCACGCCGACACAGCGCCCTCCAAGGTGGTGACCGTCATTGAGAACATGGCCGGTGGCGGCACGACGGTGGGCGACCGGTTCGAGGACCTGGCGGCGATTATTGCACAGATCGACGACAAGACGCGCGTGGGCGTGTGCATCGATACGTGCCACGCGTTTGCGGCGGGCTACGACCTGCGCACGCCGGATGCGTTTGACAAAGTGGTGGCCGACTTTGACCGCATCGTGGGCCTCCAGTACCTGCGCGCATTCCACGTCAACGACAGCAAGGCGCCCCTGGCCAGCCGGCGTGACTTGCATGCCAACATTGGCACCGGGTTCTTGGGCTTGCGCGCCTTCCACAGCCTCGTCAACAACGATGCCTTTGCGGGCCTCCCCATGGTGCTGGAGACGCCCATTGACCGTGTGGGCGCCAATGGCAAGGAGTTTGAGGACCACCAGGTCTGGGCTGACGAAATCAAGCTGCTGGAAAGCCTGATTGGCATGGACGCGGACACCGATGAGTTCAGGGCGAAGGAAAAGGCACTGCAAGCTGAGGGCGCCAAGGAGCGTAAGCGCGTCCAGGAGCAGGTCGACAAGAAGTCGGTTAAAGACGCCAAGAAAAAGAAATGAATGTCTTCGATGTTGATGTTTTGTGTTGTTGCCTTTTGAATTTGACGTTCGTGGGTATTGTATCATAGGATTCCAGCAGGAATAGGAATTGGAAAATCCAATGAATAATTAGTGTATTTTGTAACCAAATCTCGGGTATGTATGCCAAAAATGCAAATAAAGAAAAAAGTACCAAACTCGTGCCTCATATAACGATAAAACAATAAGCAATAGACACCAGAAACCAATCTCCACTACTTCCGTGTCCGTGCCCAGTGCTCGACCTTGATTATCAGGCTCTTCAGCCCAACACCACGCTCGCAGTTGGCCGCCAACCACGTCTCCATGCGCTCGCGGACATGGCGCATCGACCGGAGCACCGGCATCTTGCCGCCCTCTTCGGTCGCAGCAAAGCCTGCCGGGTTGAGCAACAACTCAAAGGCCTCCGTCCAGATGTCGGTCTGCCAGTAGCGCTTAAGCGTCTCGCGGATGCGGTAACGCTTGACGGGGCCACGCTCTAGCAATGCGGCCCCCGGTCCGCCTGCACCCAGCGCGGCGTCACCTGGGAACGCAGCGCTCATGCCTTGGTCGCACCGCACCGTCTCCATGTACTTGCCGAACAGAAGGCAGTGCAATGTACCCGCCAGGCCATGGTAGTCAATCTGCCATGTCCAGGGGCGACCCTCTCGCATCTCGGCGCAATCCTGGGCCGTCGTCTTCCAGTCGGCTACAAATTTGACGTCCGCCGGGAACGCGCGCATATCAATGGCCCGGCCAAAGTCGATCAGCGTCATGCCGCGTGCAGCCCAGCCGCCCGTGCCGTCAGCTTGCCACTGGCTCGACAACTGCTCGCTGCTGTCCGCGATACGGCTGTTGCTGGAACTGGAGCTGGTGCTACTGCCAAGGGACGGCGTACAGAGGGGATCCTCCAGCCGCAGCAGGCAGTTGTCGGCTTTGATGTCGCCGTGCAGAATGTTCTTGCTATGAAGTGACTCAACTGTACGGAAGAGCTCAATGGCAAAGAACATTGCCAGAGTCTCGTCCATCACACCAGAAGACTCGCCGCGGAACAGGTTGACAACGTCCAGCAGTGTGCCGTGCGGGTAGAATGGGAGAAACAAAAATGTCTCGTCTCGGTATAAATGGCATTCAAGAGCGGGCGCTAAAGACGCTGTCGCACGGTGCTGCGGCCCGAGCCGTGTGTGGGCAAGCCGCATCATGTGGAATTCCCACGTTGTCGGCGGCGTCTCCATTTTGAGTGCCTCATGCGCGTATCGACGGGAGTGGGCGCTAGCAAAGGCGCCGCGTCCCATTTGTGCTACGGCCTGCTGCTCACCACCGTTGGCATTCTTCTCGCCGTCGGGGTCCATGTTCTCCACCAAGTACACAGGCGCAAACGCACCAGCGCCGATCTCGCGGCGAACTGTGTACTTCGACGGGCAGTCGGCAAATTGAATCACGACCGGGACACCGGCACCGCTAGACCGATCCGACCCGCTGCCGCTACCACCGTTTACACCACTACCACCCGACTTGTATTTGCCCGAAACGGCCTTGGCGTATCGCCGGATCTCAGCACCCTTGTCGCACTTCTCATCACGATGGTCGTAGAATCCACTATATGAGCCGAGTGGCGGTTGAATGTTGGCCAGAATCTCTGCACGGATGCCCTCGTCGACGGGGTTGCACTGGGTCTCTTTGATGATGGGTCCCTTGGCAGGAACGGTGCGGGAAGCTGCTGCACTATCCACCACTGGGATGACGGCGACCTTTTGGAAGACCGGCTGAGCGAGTTTTAAGGGCGGAGGCTGGGGCAGGTCGTCGTCGTCGTCGACAATGTCGATAAGTGGACTGCTCAAGGGCTCAGGCGGAATGATCCCGCTGCTGGTCTTCTCCTCTTCACCCTCCTCATCAACCTCGACATCTTCATCGTCGTCTTCTTCGTTCGGGCTTGATAGGTGAAGAGACCGTCTGCCCATAGCCTTGCTCGGCGTCTTCGCATGCAAAGCCCGCTTATTGTCCTCCGAATCGAATTCGAGCGACGACTCCGTGCGTTCCGTAATGGGCGTCATGAACGGCAAACGATTGTTGGCCACCTCGGCTGGATCCCTATAGGGCCGTGTGGGTGCAACATAGTCTTCCGGCGGGATAGGGATAAATACAGTCCTAGTTCGTGGCGGCTCCGGCACAACTACCTTATCTTGAGCAGCTGGGCGCACCGGCGAAGAGGGCAAAGATGGAACAGCATTTTCATCGTTCGCGTCGCCACCGACAGGGTGTGAGAAGCCGCGGATAGGAAGAGGGCTAAATTCCTCGTCGGGCTCGTCCCTGTCACTGCTGTTGCCGACGTCATCGGTGTCGCCGGCTGTCGTGGTCGACGGAGTCTGGTCTGCGGTGATTGTATCTTGAAGGCCGGAGATGTCCTTGCGTACTGCAAAGTCAGACCAACTGCTCACATTTCCTGCCTCGTCGCCGTCGACAGCACTTGCATCCACATCCGCGCTGTCCGCCTTCTCGTTATCACCCTCGTCGTCGTCCTCTCCATCACCTGCATCGCTCTATTCCCTGTGTGCCTTGCCGTGCCCGTGCTCTCTGCACCGCTCGTATAATCACCGTCCGTTTCGTAGTCATCGTCGGAAGACCGGTTTTCTTCCACTTCTTCAATCCCTTGCTTTTTAGGCTGGTTGAATATTTCATAAATGTCGTCTGTTGCCGCTCTTGTGTGCATCGTCATTGTTGGTTCAGATGTGGCAGAGCTCTTCTTCTTCATACGAGGCTTCGAGGGGGAGTCCAACTTTGCTTTGACTACATATGGTGTGGTTAGTTTGACACAAATGCCATGGTATCTCCGAAGGAATCCATAAGGAATCTTACTGATCTGTGTCACGTTTGCCTCCACCACCTTCTTTTTCCTTGGCCGGTTGTTCTGGTCGTGGTTCTTGATCATCGCACCGTTCTCGTCAAGCCGGACGACATCTCGATGAACAACAAGCTTCGTCGCAACTGTGTCCGCCAACACATCCATCTGGCGAGGACCCACTGGCGAGAAAAGAAGATCCTGGTCTTCCTTTGCAGGGGCAACTTCATCCCACGATCGATGCTGCAAGCCGCGATTGGCCGCCCAAATCTCCTCAAAGCTGAGCTCCGTCCCGGGCTCTTCTGGCGTGGGATAGACGGCGCGCAAGTCGACAAAGACGCGCTCTTTCTTCCCGCTCGCCGGGTTTACTGTTACCTGGTATTGCGAAGGATGAATAGTAATGTGTGATTTGGCTAATGACTAAAATGATACATTTTGCGCCAGAGAAGACACATTGACAAATGCCCCCGAAGGCATTTGCCGCCCCAAGCGCCAACAAATTAGTCCTATATTGATCAACAAAATGTTTAAAAGAAAGGGAGCAGCAACCTGGCCAAAAAGAGAGCGAGAGGGCTCAGGGACTTACCGCGTCCTTAAACACCGCCATCTTTGATTTTGGCTTCTTGCCGCCTGCACTCAGCGTCTCGCCGGCCCACGGCTTTGCCGCCACCACGTTCTCCTTCTTGCGCTCGGCCAGCGACCCAATGCTCTCCCAACCCTTGGTCGAAGCACCAGATACCCCGAGGGCCGGGGCTGCTGCGGACGCATTGGCGTCGGAGAAAATGGCCATCTTTGGCTTGGAGCCGCGTGCGGCCTGGCTGCTCGCTTGCTGTTGCCTCTGCTGCTCCTGCAGACGTTGTGCTGCTTGCGGATCGTTCAACGCGGCGACGGCGCTTGCGAACGGGTCGACCTTGGCAGCCAGAACCGGACGCACTGTCGGCAGGGCGGGAGATGGTGGTGCGTCGGGGTTGAGGGACTCCGGTGCCTGGGTCGCGCGGCGCTGCTCAAACTCTTGGTATTTGCGCATCAAGCGCGCCTGCGGCCGTGCATTGCGCTCGATTCCCAACCGGTAAACCTCGTCGGCCTGTGCCCAGCGTGTGGCTCCCTCGAGCCAGGCGGCATACTCTTCGTAAAATAGGGCGAGGTTCTCGCCAATGTTGTGCCGCGACAGGTAGACGTAGGTCTCGTGGGGGGCGTCGGAGAAGAAGTGGATGTAGTGCAGCCAGAGACGCAGGTACCGCGGGTCATTTCGGTACTGGGCGGCGCCAACAAAGGCCTTGGTGGCACGCTCGAGCAGGAGGTGCAGCTGGGATTGCGGTGTTGCTTGGGCAGACGGGTAGGCGTCCAGAGTCCAGCGAACGTAGCGGTCGTACGCGTCAAGGGGGTCGTCAGACTCGGCGGCAACGGCCAGCTCAGCCTCAAAATCGGCACGGATCGTGTCGTGCAGTGTCTTCGTGTCGCCCGGGTTTGGTGTCGGCGTCAAGATCGGGGCCAGTTTGTCGCCCTGGACGCCCACAGACTGCGGGGAGTAGAGCTCGGCCAGCTTTCGGGCTGACCGGCCGCCAGGAAGAGACTGGATGTTCTCCTTCTGGCTCTCAATAACATCGAAGTTAATCAGTTCGTCGGAGGCAGCCATGATCGCGGTGGTGTCGGTTGCCGGTGGTGTGTGACGAAAGTGATGCAAAAGAGTGAAAAGAGTGGATTGGGAAGAGAGGTCAATGAAACGCGCCTCCGGCCAGCAATCTAAGACGCGCCTACCGTGTGTGTAGGCTGCTGCTTTAGGAAAGGGCGAAGGAATTGGGCCGTCTCTGGCTAGCATTTTTGTTGTGTCGGTTGTCGAAATTGTGGGGTTGTATTTATTAGTAAACAAACCCAGTTAGTTGCTGTGACAACAACCCCGCTACAGACGCCACAGGCGCCACAGCCTGCTGACACAACTCCTGTTTAATTCTCATCACACACCGATTCGTGCATTCTGACTCACGCACGTCGTGAAGACGACCTTCGCTGGGTTTGTTCCCTAAATTTGCAAATTTATTTGTGGTATCTACGGTATGAGTCACCGGACCCCATCATATTCCATTAGCCGTTTTCACCGGCCTTCTTCCGTTTTTACTCTCACATGCCCTAAATCATGTTGCTGAAGCGCCTACGGCTTCTCTATCGTTCGCTTCCATTCACGTCATCCCCGACAGGTCGTTGTGACGAGCGGTTTAGATGTTCACCGAGGTGCGGAAGTTCTTGCCGGCGTAGACGGCGTTCTCGCCGAGCTCCTCCTCGATGCGCAGCAGCTGGTTCAGCTTGGCCAGGCGCTCCGAGCGGGCCGGGGCACCAGTCTTGATCTCGCCAGAACGGATACCGACGACAATGTCAGCAATGGTGACATCCTCAGTCTCACCAGAGCGGTGGGACACCATGACGCCCCAGCCGTCGGCGTAGGAGTCCTTGGCGGCCTGGATTGACTCGGTCAGGGTACCGATCTGGTTGACCTTCAGCAGCAGGGCGTTGCAAGCCTTGAGCTCAATGGCCTTCTTGATGCGCAGGGGGTTGGTGACCGTCAGGTCGTCACCAACGATCTGGATGTTCTGGGTCTTGTAGAAGTAGCTCCAGGCCTCCCAGTCATCCTCGGCGAAGGGGTCCTCAATGCTGACAATGGGGTACTTCTTGCTGAGGTCGGAGTAGATCTGGGCCAGCTGCTCGTAGGTGATCCACTTGGTGGGGTCGCTCTCGGGGTTCTTGAAGTCCAGATCGTACTTCTTGACATCCTCCTTGTAGAACTCGCTGGAGGCAACGTCCATGGCGATGTTCATGCGGCCAGTGTAGCCGGCCTTCTCGATGGCCTCGGCGATCAGCTCAAGAGCCTCGTCGGCAGTCTGGATATCAGGGGCGACGCCACCCTCGTCGCCGACGTTGCCGGCAGACTGGCCGTACTTCTTCTTGGCCAGGCTCTTCAGCTGCTGGTACACCTCAGCACCCCAGCGCAGGGCCTCGGAGAAAGAGGGGGCGTCGCTGGGGACGATCATGAACTCCTGGAAAGCCAGGCGGCCACCGGCGTGGGAACTGGGAAACTCGTCAGCGTGTGTTTCTTGCTCCCTAGTCATTCCCGCACGTCAAATCGCCTTCGGGAATCCAGTGTAAACATACCCGCCGTTGAGGACGTTCATGAAGGGAACGGGCAGGACATAGGGCTTCTTGGTGCCGGCCAGGTCGGAGACGTGGGCGTACAGAGGGACACCCTAGGAAGAGAGGCGGAAATGTTAGCATCCAATTGGTCTGTGCGATGTTCGAGCTTCTTTCCCGTCGGCCGGTCGAATTGAACATACCTTCTCGGCAGCGCCAGCCTTGGCAATGGCCAGGGACACGCCCAGGATGGCGTTGGCGCCCAGCTTGGTCTTGTTGGGGGTACCATCAAGGTCAATCAGGAACTTGTCGACCTTGGACTGGTCCTTGACGTCGACGGCCTCCTTGATGATGGCGGGGCCAATGATCTCGTTGACGTTCTTGACAGCGGTCAGGACACCCTTGCCACCCCATTTCTCCTTGTCGCCATCGCGGAGCTCGCAAGCCTCGTGTTGGCCTGTTGCAAAACACACAAGTCAGCCAGCTGCGCTTCTGTGCACTCGAAACACGTCGAGTCCAAAATATATTGGGGGGGAGGTGACGCGTAACGTACCAGTGGAGGCACCCGAGGGGACAATGGCGCGGTGCAGGCCAGTCTCGGTGACAACGTCGACCTCAACGGTCGGGTTGCCGCGCGAGTCGTAGACGTAGCGCGCGTGGATCTTGGTGATGGCCATTTTAACGCTTTGGTGGGGTCGGATGCTGTTGAGGAAGCTAGCTCGGAAGTCGGGTCAGATACAACCTGCGAGTTGGTGATGCTGGTCAGTGGCTTGTAAGAAGGAAGAAGAGAAACGAAACAAAAACAAAACAGTAGCGAGAGGGAAGGTATAAGAGGGAGGCTAACAGGCAATCTTGACGACAACGAGAAATTTGCAATAGTCGCAGTGAGTCAAAAAGGCCGAAAGCGAAAGTCGGAGAATTTGCAGGAAAATATTGCAGGAGCTATTTATGGGGAAGTGCAGAGTGACGACATAACAAAACGGGATAATGCCTCATGGAAACAGGAAAACAGATCACAAGATTCGAAGGAATTAAGTCGTTGTGGAGGGGCAACGATGGAGGGGAGCCAATGAACAATGTGGGTTTGACAGCAGACGATGCGCGAGGGAAAAAAGACAGACACCTCGATATGGGGGGAGACTGCGTGATTATGTTCGCGGGATGTGAAGCTCGCTTTTTTGCTCGCTCTCTCTAGGGTGGGAAGCTCCTTCTTTCCTACCTTTGTTTGGTTCGGACGGGACGAATTGGCCTTAAAACGTAGAGGTGGCAGGAACGTGGGTGCTATGATGGGGACGAAGATGTCTAGGAGAGGAAACGAAAAGGCAGGGACAGGAGCCTTTTAAGGACAGATACAGAAGGAACAGTCCGTTGGTATGTATGTTGGTCTGGACGTCCGTTTGTTTTGTTGGGCGCCCCGGTTTGGAGGGGCAGCCACGCTGCACGGAACAGCCGTTGTTCGTTCCTGCCGTTTTTTTGTCCCTTTTGGAGGGGCACTGTGGTGTTAGTGCATCACTGGTGGGGTGTTACTTGGCCCTGGCGTGAGCAATGAGCAGATGGGGCCGGACAGTAAGACAGTGCGAATTGCGTTCTGTGTTCTGTGGGTTTCTGAGCGCAGCTCTGCAAGTACGGGATTGAAGAACCGTGCACAGAAGACGTGATGCTCGGTGCAGCTGGCCGGAGTGCCGCTGCGCTGGCCGTTGCTGTCTTGCCAAGGCATAGTTCTGTTTCGAAGCCCATGCATGTCTCTCACCGTCGCTCATTCCCAATCAACTGCAAACATCGTGACATTCGCCATGGCTTCTGGCGGAGCTCCTCCGGCCACTCCCTTGCTTTTATAGAGCGGTACCGAGCTCGGCTTGAGCCCCAGAGCTTCAGGGCGCTCTCTTCTCTTTTCCGGAAGCCGTCCCGGACCTCGAAAGGTGGCCGCGTCGCCGTTATGTTTTCGTGGTAAGCTCGTTCCTGGCTTGGGTGGTGTTGGCTGCAATGTTAGTGTGGTACCCCATAAAGGGGTTACTATACGCGTGTAAGTCTGTACCCCGCTATCTAAGGAAGAAATCGGCGCTGCTTGATCTTGAGAGCAGAGCTAGTACACCTGTGATTGGTCAATTGCACTCATACTTTGCCGATGTCGACGATGCGTTGCCGCACCTGGCCAATTCTCCCGCGTTCGATCTCGGCTACGAGGACAAAGACAGCTGTCCGGACGGGTTATTGAGCTTTAGCATGTGCACGAGATTGTTCGATCGACCGGGGCTCGTGAGGACCCTCACGCGTAAGGCAGTACTTGACGTATTTCGGCGGATCGACCCTAGGCTGCATCCTCCGCGTCGTCCTAACCTTATTTCACAAGGGCAATGCAGTTGCAATGGGTCCGTGACTGCGGCGTTGGGGGAGTTGATGTTCGCGATGGTATTCCCATGATTCGATATCTCACAGAATCGCGAGAAGGGTCGTGCAAAGTGCCCTAATGATGTCACGTGCGGCTCGGTGAACGAATTTCTTCGTACGAAGTATTGGAGAGTAGGACAGGCACAATAAAAAAACTCCGCCTTCCTAAAGCGGAAGGCGGGCAGAGATTCGACGACCCTAAGTGACGAATACGACGGAAAGGTGGGAGCCATTCTTTCCCTATTAGTAGCCATAAATTGTGCAAAATAGGAAAGAGCTACCTGTGCGGAGTGCATAGTTAAGGCAAGACGCAAAACCCGTAAGGCTCATGGCCGTAAGATTCAGAGATTCAGAGATCCGACGGCTTGGGACAGACGATAGGAAGGTGTGAGGGCGTATGGTAGGGGCGGGTCTGCCCCCTGGTCTGTGCACCAGAGCATGGTAGTGGTACGCCTTTGCTAGGTCGGTAGTTTTCCAAGTTCATTTTTTCTTGCACGATTTAGTTATCGATCAGTTCGTTTCACCACGAGCTGCCTTTTCAAGGAAGGGACAGCCCACGTCCACCGTCGCTTGTCCGCCCTCACAGGTGCGCCTTCCGCTTCTTTTTACTGGGGCCATTCGTTCCTTCATCGCATCGGCTACCTGCCCCTTCCTCCCCGCCTCCTTCCTGCCTGTTCGGTATGTCTTCTCCATTGGCAACACTGGGCTGCCGGGCCACCAAATCACCGTTCTCGTCTGCTTTATTAAGAGCAACCGTCCCCCGCTCTAAACTCTCGACACACATCTCTTCTGCCTGCATTACCCCGCTGGCGTCACAATATACGACAACATCTCGCTCTCTGTAAGTTGCATCACAGCTGTGTCTCGCTCAACTTGACACAGGCCTTTGTTGTTTCGCCCCATCCGCATCGCTCTACGGCCTAGACGTGGCCCTGAGTAACACCCGTCACCAACCTTCACCTACATTACCCCCACCACTCAGGAACGAGGCGCAGACAGTCTGGTTCCAACAAACCACCAACGGTTGAAGAAGCCAACTTGGACCAACGCCGCTAACTGCTACAAAGCCATTGTTCGTCTGCCGCCTTCTGCCCTTGTCCATCTTTGCTTCACCACAAGCAGTTGCGACCTCTACATACGTCGCAGCCGTCATCCATTCGTTCCTCGCATCGGCACCCCGTCTCGCGCCTTCAACCTTTGACTTCTGTCCGTTACTGTTCACACCGTCGCCACGCCATGTGTCGCCACTCTGGAGCCGACGGCACTGCGACCGCCGTGAACTTGGGCCGCGAGCTGCTGCCGGCCGATGTCGTCCCCAAGCACTACGACGTCACCCTCGAGCCCGATTTTGACAAGTTTACCTTTGAGGGCACCGTCATCATCGACCTCGACGTCGTCAAAGACACCAGCTCCGTCTCCCTGCACACCCTGGAGATCGACGTGCACAGTGTCACGGTCAGCAGCGATGGTGCTGCTATCAGCTCGTCGCCTTCTGTGTCATATACCGAAGACACACAGACGACCAAGATCGATTTCGATGGCAGCCTCGCCAAGGGCACCAAGGCCCAGCTCGAACTGTCCTTCACCGGCCAGCTCAACGACAAGATGGCTGGTTTCTACCGCTCTACCTTCAAGAAGGCCGACGGCAGCAACGGCATCATGGCCGTCAGCCAGATGGAGCCCACTGACGCCCGCCGCGCTTTCCCCTGCTTCGACGAGCCCTCCCTGAAGGCCACCTTCGCGGTCACCCTGATTGCCGACAAGCACCTGACGTGCCTGAGCAACATGGACGTTGCGTCTGAGACGGAGGTTCAGTCCAAGATCAGCGGCGGTGCCAAGAAGGCCGTCAAGTTCAACGTGTCTCCGCAGATGTCGACGTACCTCGTTGCGTTCGTCGTCGGCGAGCTCAACTACATTGAATCCAACGACTTCCGTGTGCCCGTGCGCGTGTACGCCCCGGCCGGCCAGAACGTGGAAAACGGCCGCTTCTCGCTCGACCTAGCGGCCCGCACGCTCGCCTTTTACGAGAAAGTCTTTGGCATTGACTTCCCGCTGCCGAAGATGGACCAGATTGCCATTCCTGATTTCGCCCAGGGCGCCATGGAGAACTGGGGTCTCGTCACCTACCGTGTTGTCGACCTCCTGCTGGACGAGAAGACCAGCGGTGCCGCCACCAAGGAGCGCGTCGCCGAGGTTGTTCAGCATGAGCTCGCCCACCAGTGGTTCGGCAACCTGGTCACCATGGATTGGTGGGATGGTCTTTGGCTGAACGAGGGTTTTGCTACCTGGGCCTCGTGGTACTCGTGCAACGTTTTCTTCCCCGAGTGGAAGGTCTGGGAGTCGTACGTCAGCGACACGCTCCAGGGTGCCCTGTCTCTCGACTCCCTGCGCAGCAGCCACCCCATCGAAGTTCCTGTGAAGCGCGCCGACGAGATCAACCAGATCTTCGACGCCATCTCGTACTCCAAGGGCTCTTGTGTTCTGCGCATGATTTCCACGTACATAGGCGAGGACGCCTTCCTCGAGGGCGTCCGCCGGTACCTCAAGAAGCACAGCTATGGCAACACGCAGACGGGCGACCTTTGGGCGTCCCTGGCCGAGGCCAGCGGCAAGCCTGTGGATGAGGTCATGACGGTCTGGACCAAGAACGTCGGCTACCCCGTCGTCACCGTCACCGAGAAGGACGACTCCATCCACCTCAAGCAGAACCGCTTCCTGCGCACGGGGGACGTCAAGCCCGAGGAGGACCGGATTCTCTACCCTGTCCTTCTCGGCATCCGCACCAAGGAGGGCGTTGACGAGGAGCCCATCTTGAACACGCGCGAGGCCGATTTCAAGGTGTCGAGCAAGGATTTCTTCAAGCTCAACGCCAACCACACGAGCCTGTTCCGCACGTCGTACTCGCCCGAGCGTCTTGCCAAACTCGGCGAGGCCGCCAAGGAGGGTCTGCTGACGGTGGAGGACCGTGCTGGTATGATTGCCGACGCCGGTGCACTGGCCATCTCCGGCTACCAGAAAACGTCGGGCGTTCTTAGCCTTCTCAAGTCCTTCAACGAGGAGTCGGACTTTGTTGTTTGGAACGAGATCATTTCGCGGCTCTCGGTTGTGCAGAGCGCCTGGATCTTTGAGGATGCCGCGATCCGTGACAGCCTCGAGGCGTTCCAACGCGACCTCGTCAGTGCCAAGGCCCATAAGCTCGGCTGGACGTTCTCCGACTCGGACGGCCATATTGAGCAGCAGTTCAAGTCGATGCTGTTTGGCAGCGCCGGCCTGAACGGCGACAAGACCATCATCGCGGCCGCCAAGGACATGTTCAACCGCTTCATGGCAGGCGACACCCTGGCCATCCACCCCAACATCCGCGGCAGCGTGTTTGGCATGGCGCTGAAATACGGTGGCAAGGATGAGGTACGATGAGTAGAATGACATGCACGCACTCCCTGCTTACTTTGACACACGCTAACAAGAACCCACAGTACGACGCCGTTCTGAACTTCTGGCGTACCTCTCAGAACAGCGACGAACGAAACACGGCTCTGCGCAGCCTGGGCCGTGCAAAGGACCCTGAGCTCATCAAGCGCACACTTGAACTGCTGAGCGGCAAGGAGGTCAAGGACCAGGACATCTACATGCCGGCCTCTGGCCTGCGCGGCCACCCCACCGGCATTGAGGCCCTGTTTACGTGGATGACGGAGAACTGGGACGACCTGTATAAGCGCCTGCCGCCTGGCTTGTCGATGCTCGGCTCGATGGTCAGCATCATGACGTCCAGCTTCTCGCGGCCGGAGCAGATTGCGCGCGTCGAGGCCTTCTTCGCGGACAAGAACACCAAGGGCTACGACCAGGCGCTGGCACAGAGCCTGGACGCCATCCGGTCCAAGATTGCATGGGTCCAGCGCGATGGCAAGGACATTGCCGGCTGGCTGCGCGAGAACGGCTACAGCAAGTAGCTCGCAGCCAGGCTGTGAGCCGCACAGAGCGTCTATAAATCAGCAAGGCGCGTCACTTTGCGGCTCACGGCGTTTGAGATACATCCATACTCTAAAAATGAACAAAGAAGTAAAATGTAATGATGTTTGTGATTGTTGTCATTAATGTGATCGAAACGATTGGTTTTCAATTTGTTACTTATTTACTGTTTATTATTTATTTTTTTAAAGAAAGGCTGAGAGAGAAGAAATAAATCCAGAAAAGGAAGAAAGGATGGAAAGGCTCCATTTTCTTATTTAAGCTGTAGTTACGAGAGTTTGTCCTCGCAGCTTGTTATAGTTAGAGCGTGGGATACCAATTATCTTAGGACATGTGTGTTAGTGAGGGCAAAGAGCTAATTGCCAGTTGACGGCAACTCCTTCCCTTGTGAAACCCTCCCAAACCGATTATTAACAAGTTCATAACACAAGGCCCAAAATCGACCCAACACAGATTTACGATAAACCCACAAGCAATACAATCTCCATTTCAAACCACCAACTAGAAAAGGAGGACGGAGGACTTACGTTGCCAGGCCCAGCTCTTTACGGCCGCCGAAGGAAGTCATTGCTCAAGCGACAAGAATTTGCCCCGCACGCTTGAAAAAACCCGAATCCACTTTCATCGCCTTTGACGACAACGACGTAAATCGACAAAGATACCGCCATAGGGTTGCGTGCGGGCTACACTCATCTTGCTTGACAATGGCCAAGGACAAGAAATCCAAGAGCGAGGGCAAGAAGGCCAAGGCGGCGGAGAAGAAGCAGAAACAGGAGAAGAAGGCAGCGAAGAAGGCCAAGGTCAAGGACGCCAAGCAGCAGGACGGCAGCGATGCTGAGGATGTCGACCTCGACCAGGTGCTCGAGGAGTACAGGCGGCAGCAGGAGCTGTTCCTCAAGGTGACAGAGACGGTCGCAGAGGGCCCGCCGCGGGCGCGGGCGGCGGCCAGCTTCCTGGCATCGCCAGCCAATGCCAACCAGCTGCTGCTGTTTGGCGGCGAGTATTTCAACGGCGCACTGGCGACGTTCTTCAACGACCTGCACATCTACTACATTGACCGCGACGAGTGGCGCACGGTGACGTCGCCCAACACGCCGCTGCCGCGGTCGGGCCACGCGTGGTGCCGCGGCGGCAACCTGAGCAACTCGGTGTTTTTGTTTGGCGGCGAGTTCAGCTCGCCCAAGCAGGGCACATTCTACCACTACAATGACTTTTGGCGGCTGGACCCGGCGGCACGCGAGTGGACGCGGCTCGATACCAAGGGAAAGTCGCCGCCGGCGCGCAGTGGGCACCGCATGACGTACTTCAAGAACTACATTGTGCTGTTTGGCGGCTTCCAGGACACGGCCAACCAGACGCGGTACCTGGCGGACCTGTGGCTCTACGACACGGCCAATTTCGTCTGGTTTAACCCGGCCCTGCCGCCGGCTCAGCTCAAGCCCGACGCGCGGTCGTCGTTTACGCTGCTGCCGCACGAGCAGGGTGCCGTGCTGTACGGCGGGTTTTCGCGCGTCAAGGCAGCTAGTCAGCCAGGCGGCGGCGGCAAACAGGGAGGCGGCGGCGGCGGCGGACGGAACGCCATGAAGGCAGTCGTGCACCAGGACTGCTATTACCTGCGGATTACGCCCCCACCGGCCACGGACGCACCCGGGACCGCGCCTGTTGTGCGCTGGGAGCGGCGTAAAAAGCCGGCCAATGCGCCCAACCCGACGCGGGCGGGTGCCACAATGGCGTACCATCGCGGGCGCGGCATCCTGTTTGGCGGCGTGCATGACGTCGAGGAGAGCGACGAGGGTCTCGACAGCGAGTTCTTCAACCAGCTCTTTGCGTGGAACATTGAGCGCAACCGGTTCTTCCCACTGGCGCTGCGCAAGCCACGGACAGCAGCGAAGAAGGCGACGGGCGGTGGCGGCGAGCAGCGTGTCGGCCGGCGTAACCGTGCGGCGGCCAACGAGGAAGAGCTCCTGAAACAGCTGGCGGCGCTGGAGGCGACGAGCAAGAAGGACGGCGACGACGGTAGCGACGAAGACGCCATGGAGCTTGACAAGAAGGCGGCCGAAGACGAAGAAAAGTCGCCGGCGCGGCAGATGCCCGTGTCGATGGAGATGCCGCACGCACGGTTCAACTCACTGCTGGCCGTGCAGGGCGATGTGCTCTACATGTACGGCGGCACGTACGAAAAGGACGACCGCGAGTTTACGTTTGACGACATGCACGCTGTGGACCTGGGCAAGCTGGATGGCTGCAAGGAGGTGTTTAGCCGGCCAATGGACGACGCGTGGTACGAGTCGGAAGACGAAGACGACGACGAAGACGAGGACGAGGACGAGGACGACGAGGACGACGAGGACGTCGAGATGGAGGACGACCCAGCGCCCAAGAAGTTTACGCCCAGCACGCGGAACAAGAACAAGGGCGCAGCCGCCGCGTCGGACACGGCGTCTACGGCTGATGCGGAGTCGCCGGCCGCGTCGTCGTCGTCGGCGTCTGTGGCAGACTCGGAAGACACCGAAGCCACCGAGGCCGACACACCAGTCGACGACGGCCTGCCACACCCACGGCCGTTTGAGTCGCGGCGAGACTTCTTCAACCGCACGTCCAACGAGTGGCAAGAGATCCTCATGACGCAGCTGCGGTGGAAGAACATCAAGGTGGAGTCGATGCTGGTCAAGGAGACCAAGACCAAGGCCTTTGAGCTTAGCGAGGAGAAGTGGTGGGACTGCCGCGAGGAGATCACCGCCCTCGAAGACGAGCAGGAGGCGGCCGGCATTGGCGAGGTGGTGTCCCTGGCCGACCGCGAGGGTGGTGGCGGCGGAGGCGGCGGCGGTGGCGGAGCGCGGAGGAGATAGAGGAGCGTATATGAAGTACGGAGAGCGCCAATACAACTTGGATATTTACAAAAATATACTGGCATATATGAGTTGAGTTTTGAGGACGAGTGCTTTGGGGAATGCCCTGAGGCTAGAATATAGCGGTAGTGTGCTGTGAATTATAGCGGTAGCGGGCGCTCTTTTGGTGCACGCGTCGTTAAGTGGTAGCACGTGCTCAGGCGTTGGGGGGATCGCCACCAGCGCGACAGAGACCGCGTGGTTGCCTTCTTTGGACACGGTAGTGAAACCATTAGCAAAATCCAAAAACTAAATACCAAAGCTGCAAAATTCTGTATTCTGGTCCCTTCACACATCATCCACAAGGACCACAACCATGCCGGTCGGCATCCAGAGGATCAACGCCCGGCGTTCGCAGCCCAATCCGCACGTTGTCTTTATCAAGCCGCTCAAAGGGCCCGATGAAGAGGTTGCGCGCCAGTTTCTGGAGCGCATTGCAGCTCAGTGCGGTAAGTTGTCTTGGACGTTTCTTGTTCTCCCCTTTCTATTTCTTATATTGTTGTCCGTCGCTGACAAGGTAGTCCCCATTATGCGCGAGCATCATCTCACCGTTATGACGCTTGAAGAGTACGAGCCCAACCGTGAGTTTGTCGGGCGCAACTTCAACGCCGGGGAGGTCATTCAGCTCGTGCTCAAGGCTCATGGATCCCGCCGTTGGCTGCCCTTCCAGTACGTCCAGATGGTCATGATGCACGAGCTCGCGCACTGCCGGCAGATGAACCACTCGCGTGCGTTTTGGAGCGTCCGGGACGCCTTTGCAGCGCAGATGCGGCGACTGTGGGCGGACCGGTACGTGGGCGAGGGCATCTGGGGCCGAGGCGCCAAGCTGGGCACGGCGGCCGATGGGGGGCCCCCAATGTATGAGCGCAATGTGGCGCTGCCGGGGGACGGCGGTGACGATGGCGTGCTGCTCGAGCACCTCTGCGGCGGAACGTACCAGTCACGCAGGGGCCGCAAGCGCAAAGTCAAGCCGACACTCACGTACCGAGAGCGCGAGGACCGGCGGATACGGCGCAAGTTTGGCGTGAACGGGGTGGCGCTGGGCGACGACCTGGAGGAGCGGGCGAAGCTGGATGCGCGGGGAACGGGAAGTAGCAGTTCAAGTAGGGCTCCAGCTTTGGGCAAACAGACGAGTCTGAGTGCTGGTAGTGGTAAAGTGGGCATGCAAAAGGAGACGACAGCAAGAACCCTTGCGGCAACGACGAAGACGGAACAGAAACGGCTGGCCACAAAGCCGCGTGTGGCTGTCAGCAAACGTGGCCGCGAGTTGCGGGCAGCCGCAGCCTTGGCCCGGTTTGAGCAGAACGCAACGGCAAAGAAAGAGGAGGCAGTGGCGGAAAACGTGGACGAGATCGAGGCGATCAAGCGAGAGGAAGACGGATACGAAATGGACCTCACAACGGACAGCGACGGCGATGGTGCCGTGGTGGAATATGAAGCGGATCCCGACCAGCCAACCCTTGCCGGCCCGGACGCCGTCGACATTGACGGCAAACGGATGCTAGACGGCAGCGGAGGCAGCATGGTGCGCGTGTGTGAGGGCGAAGACGGAGAAGACAACTCTGATGCCAAACGAGAATTGCGAGAGCTGCTGCAAGCGGGTCGTTGGGGCGGTAGCGACAACGCGCAGAAGGTGGCGAAACCTCAAAGCAAAGCGCAGCCCACATCGTCCACGGCTGCAGCAGCGTCCGCATCTCGCATACCAAGCAAGACTCCGAAACAAGAGACGTCCAAGGACGAGCGACAGGAAGTATCCCTCTCTCAGATTCCGCACGTTGGTCACGCCACGGTGACGCGGCCATTGCCAACATCAACACCTGCCGCCCCGCCTGCTACTCAGCTCGCAACTGGAGCCTGCCCGGTGTGCAGCTTTGCCAACAGTGAACAGGCCATTACGTGCACCGTGTGCGGTCATGTTTTGCATGCCGATGCCGTCCCGGGTGCATGGCACTGCCAGAGCGCCACGTGTCGAGAGAGCCAAGGCGTGCGGTTCCTCAATGCTGGCGACTGCGGCGTATGTGGAGTATGTGGGCAGCGGAAGGGAATGTGAAGGCGCGGAGTGTACGGCATTGCGATAAACGAGCGACAAAAGAGGTTGAATCTGGTAAACGGGTTCTCTGTATAGAGGCTCTGACAAATGCTATGGGTATCTCGCTTTTCCAACTGCCTACAATGTGTGTCCCAAACGCCTTGAAAATGTGACCATAGTCCCGTCTGCACACAACCTATTCCTACAGCCCATACCGCGTCATGCACTCGTCCCGGTGCAGCTCCAGACAGTCCAGGGCACACACGGGCGTGCCGCACTTTGTGCACTTGACGCGGCCCCAGTAGCCGCAGATCTCGCAAAACACGCGCGTCGGGTAGCGCCGTCCGGTGCTGCCATCGTCGTTGTCGTCGACAAAGTCGGCACGCGCTTCGGGGTACGTCAGTGGCGGACCTTGCACGAGGCTGCGCAGCTCGTCGTCCGTGGGCAGTGGCGGCATATTGCTGACAAGGAGCGGGTCGTTGTCGAGAGGATGTGCAGGCGGCCGGGGTCCTGTGTAAGGCAGGAGTATAGACGAGGCGGGACGGGTCGTCTGTTGTGCGGCCTCCTGCGCAGCCATGCCGTCTGCATGGCCCGCCGCGTCTGGTGTCCCTGGGGCATCGGCCATTGGCGTGTCAGCGGATGAGGGCGTCGGGGTTGCTGCTGAAGTGGACCGCCGTGCTGCTGCCGAGCCGCCGCGTCTTGTGTCTTTCTTTGCGTCCTTCTTTGCCGCCGGCCGCCTGCTGCTGCTGTTGCCGTTCTTGCTTGGTGTGGCGGTCGCAACCGCCCCTGATGCCGCGGCGCCTCGCCCGCCGCTCGGCGTGTCGCTGTTAAGTCCATGGCTATGGTTGTGATTGTGGTTATGATACAGGTGTGGGTTCGCCTCGTGCAGCGCCGTGAGCGCGTTGAAGTCGTCGAGATGGTTGGCAAACGACTTTTGCGACGCCAGGATCTTGCGCACATTCGGCGTGTACTTGTTCTGTGCCTTGACCGCCTTGGCCGGGATCGGGATCTGGCTGTCACGCCCACCACTGCTGCCAGCTGCCGAACCACCGTCGCGGTCTAGAAGCTCGAGCTCCTTGCGTAGCTTGGCTTCCTGGCGCGACGTAAGATGCGAAAAGAGCGCGACCGACGAGCCTGCACCGCCGGCAGCGGCGCCGCCTTGGTTGCGTGTCGAGCGCTTGCGTGAGTTCTTAGCCACACCGCTGCCGGCCGCACCTGCTCCTGCACCCGCTGCACCGGCTGCTGCTGCGCCAAAGGCACCGCCGGCTGTATAGTTTGCACCGGCGGCGGCCATGGTTGCAGCCATCCCTGGCGGTACATTGCGGCTGCTGTTTTCCGGCACGTAGGCCCAGCCGGGCGCCACAGCGCGGCGTTGGCTGGCGATCTCGACGACGCCGAAGTTGTCCATGGGCGCGTTCGTGGGACGGGTCGAGTCGTCGGGTAAGGGTGAAGAGGATGGAGATTTGTCGTCAAAAAGTCGTCGTTGTTGGTGAGAGAGATAAATTTGGGGTAGAAGTCATAGTCTGGAAACTTTAGGTGGTCCCTTCCGTTTATTGTGGTCAGCCGCGTGCTTGATAGGCGCTGTGGAGTGGCGACTAAACACCTGCTAATTCGCTGAGGCTAGAGGTCGCCCTTCCGCCTACAACGTAAAATACATAATAAAATGTACGCTCGACAATTTCACTCGGATGTGAAGGAAACTCATGTAAATGCAGAATATTTTTGAATGAAAATAGTATACAGACGTCTAAGACGATAGCCTTGCGCTCGCTCTGCCATCCCATGCACAATCTGCTTGGACGAGCCCTTTACCGCCAAAATTAGACCACAGCCGCATTCGTGATACCAAGGCGTTGCTGTACGTAACCAAGTCCGTTCCTACAAGCCGAGAGGTAGTCTCATTTCTTCTGGACCTTGTCCTCGAGCGTCGCCAGGTGGGTGCTGAGCTGCTGCGTGGCCCTTTGCAGGGTCTGTTGAGAGGAATATGGTTAGCCGAGAATAACAAACGGAGAGTGACCAAGGATGAAGCATGACGATCGGACAAGGAGAGGGGGAGATTCTGTAGGAGCTCGCAGTAGGAGACTTTACGCCACGGGGCACTGCGCGGTGTATATGAGGAACTCGGACGAGAGAAAGGAGAGAAACGAGGAAGACCAAACCACTTGATTTCCAGGAGGGTTCCGCTTGGAGTCCGGTATTCCGAGAATGGAGAAGGAGGAGAGGAGCCGAATCGCAAAATAGACTGCAAAAGTAGGGCAAAGACGGGGACCAAAAACGAGACGATTGACAGAGAGGGAAAGTCTTATATGCAGACACGCACGTAAATGTCTTCCGTCAGCTGGTCGTTGGACGCTTTGTATTCCGTGAGCACGTAGTAGTACACGCCCGCACCCGTCAGCGTCGCGCCGAGAAGGAAGCCGAAGAGACTGCACCGTTAGCATTCGTAGGCCAGAGCCAGGATGGCACCGGGAGCGAGCTTACCCCCCACGGAACGCGCCGACTGGCTTGCGTGCAGTCAGCGGTGCCTCGGCCAGCCGCCGGGCTGAGGTCTGAAAGCTACGCGCCGGGGTCGCAGAGGCGATCGAGACAGGCGACGTAGTCGCGCGCGACACGGAGCGCAGGAGCATTGTTCTTGAAGCCATAGTGTTGGGTGGGAGAATAGAAAGATTGAGGATGATCGAAGTTTGATGATCGTGTGAAGTGCTCTGTCCGACGACAAGTAGGCGCGGCGCGGCGCAATGAAGGAAGCAATCGGATGCGTAGGCACTTCAAGGAAGCGTGGCAAGAAGAGATACTGTATCGTTGCTGTCGTCGGGCCGCGTGGCTTCGAAATCGGTTGTGTGGGTGTTGGAAGCCGGTTCGAAGTCGTCGTTCGGTTCAGAACGGCAAGCAGTGGATTTAGCTCGCTCACTGTTGCGGGAAAGGCTAGGAAGCTCAGCCAGCGCGTCTTCCTTGCGCTATAGCGTGTGCTTCCTGACCTGGGCGGTGTAAGTCGGCAGAATCTGCAGTATTTCGTACACTCAGCATTTACGGCGAAAACAATAAACAATTCAAATTAATTTCGACGTAACGACATAGTTCATCGAGCAGCATAATTTGACTCGAAAATTTATGAACAAAAACATACGTCCTGTCGCCTCCTTAGACAAACAGACAAACGCAGTCAAGATCGAATTCAAAACGCATAAATTAAGAACAACACAGGAGAACTAGGATAACCCAAATTGTCTCTTCTCGTTTCTTTCTCTCTGGTCCGGGACACAGACAAGGACAAACAAATTTAATAACAAGGCTTGACGAGGCAAATGGAACCTGAGCCGCTCCTCCTCCTCCCATTCTGTCGTAACAGACCATATCCCACGCTAGAGGTGGTCGTCGTGTTTCATTTTTGTTGTGTTACAATTGCATAGTTTTCGAATTTAAGGGTCTCTTAAACTTTTTCGTAGAACATCGTACAAGGGGGAATAGGAAGCAAACAAGAAAACAAACACGTCGTCGCAGAATCGGCTAGGCGCGAATCTACAGCTCGTCGTGCTTGCTCTTCTCCTCCTTCGCCTCCTCCGTCTTGGTCGACGAAGAAGCCGACGTCGCGCTGCTCTCCGAAACATCCTCCTCGGCGGCCGGGCCGGGCTCGGCCTCGTACTTGCCGTTGTCCTTGATGAACTTGATCAGATCCTCGACCGTGCGCGAGCCCGAGTAGGTGATGGGCTCGTCCTTGCTGCCAGCGGGGAACAGCTTGATCGTCGGGAAGCCCTGGATCTCGTCCGGCACATCGTTGGCCGTGGCGTCCACCTTGGCAATGACGACCTTGTCCTTGAACTCGGAGGCAGCGTACTGCGCAGCCAGGTCGTCGTACTTGGGCGCCAGGGCCTTGCAGTGACCGCACCACGGGGCGTAGAATTCGACCAGGACATCCTTGGTGTCGTCCAGGACAATGTCGTTGTAGTTCTTGGCCACAACAATGGTAACACCCTCCTGCTTCTCGGGGATCGGCTCCGACTTGATGCTGGGCTCGACCTTGCCGGCGACAAAGTCGTCGACAAACTTCTTGATCGCGTCCTTGGTGATCTTGGCCTCAATGTCAAAGGGGAACTTCTGGTTCTTGACCGTCTCCTGGATGGCGAACGAGGGGAACTTGTCCGTGGGCAGGTTCAGGTTGCCGGCGTGCGCACCGAAAGCCTTGGCGTCAATCGTCGCGAAGTTGACGACACCACGGTGGGCCTCGGCAATGGGCTTCAGCTCATCAGCCAGCTCCTTGCGCTCCTCGGCGGTTTCGGCAAAGATGTACGCCAGGGGGATGCCCGCCGACATGTAGTCAGAGTATGTCTCGGGGCCGACCTCGCCGATCAGCGGGGTGGCGGCCGTCTTGGCGAACTTCTCAATCGCCGCGTCGTCAAACTTCTCGGAGAAGACAGCCTTGCCATCGTCAAAGTCCTTGTACAGGACGATGGACGGCACGGTGATGCCCTCAGCCTCGGCGAGCTCAGCATCGCTGCTGGCACCGAAGGGGTAGTTGTCGCGGAGCTTCTCGGCGACCTTGGTGAAGGTCTCGTTGGAGGCCTTGTCATCGGCCTTGAGGTAGGCGACCAGGACGACCTTGTCGGCCTTCTTGAACTCGTCGAGGTTGTCCTTGGTGACGGTCGAGACGGCGGGCAGCGACTGCTTGATCATGTACGAAGTAATGGCAGCAGCCTTGCGCTGGCCCTTGTAGGCGCTGATGTTGTCGGTGCCGCGGAAGATCTTGAGTGTCGGGTAGCCTTCGACACCGTACTGTTGGCAGAGCTCGGCCTCCTCTGTGCAGTCGATCTTGGCCAGCTTGATGTTCTTCTCTTTGAGCGTCGTGGCAGCCTCCTCGTACTCGGGAGCCAGAGCCTTGCAGTGGCCGCACCACGGGGCAAAGAACTCGGCAAGGACAATCTCGTTGCTCTTGACAAACTCCTCAAAGGTGTCGGTCTTGAGTTGGTGAACGTCTGAGACGTCGGCACCGGCGACGAGGGTCGAGCCGAAGGCCACAAGGGCCATTATCAAAGACTTGGAGTACTTCATTGTGTCTGTTTGGTTGTGCTGGATCTGGTTAGCAAGTAGCCGAGGTAGGTGAGCAGTGTGGATGCAGATGCGACGTAATCCTCGAGGCTGGGGAGATGATCAGAGCTTCGCCGGGACAAGCGGAGTGAGGTCATCCAGAGCAAAGCAAGAAATACAGGAATAGAGAATAAGCGAAACTCACGTCTGTAGAAAGAAAGAACGAGAAGCAATAGAAATGCGAATCACAAAGAAAGCAGTGAAGAGAAAAGAGAAAGTAAAGAACAAGGTTGGGATGAAGGAGGATAAAAAGAGGGTGGAAAGTTGCGGACGTGGAGAAGTTAAGTATGGCGTAGGACCGCTCAAGGCGCACTACAAGGGCCGGGGGCAAGGTGTCCCTTCTGTTTCCTGTCACTTGGAAGGAACAATCACTCAAGGAGTTAGTTGACTGGGCCACAGGCGGTGCCACACCAAAACGGGCGCTAACAAGGAAAGCTTCCCCTTTTTACGCAATCTTGGCGATCGTGTCTCGTTTCCATCGTTCCTTCTTGAACGTACGCCGTACATAGGCGCACTTGCCAACCCACGAGTAGGTCCTGAGGTACTGTCGGATTGGGTAGGCGGTCCAAAGATGCTCCTTCCGGACGTCTGTCCACTTTCCATTTGTCTACCTTATTTACCACGGCCGTCATGGCTCCTTCCAGAGGTTATTCTCTTTGCGCCCCGTATTCGTCGCGCGAGAGTCGGTGTTTGGCAGGAGCGAGCGGCTTCGGTTCGCGTGTATTTCTAATCTGGGGCTCCAGGGGACTCGAAACGGAGAAGACGACAGGTGTTCAGTTCACTTGGGTGGCGCGGCTTGGGACGCCATCCCTCCTGGGTTCCTGCCCCACTCCTTTTGGCCATGCAACAGAGACGCCAACACTCTGGGAAGGCTGATAAAGCGGGTAAGGTCACCCACGCTAGGCCTGGCCTAAGCCAAACAGGGCGGAGGCTAGGGGTGCTGGCATCGGGCCCCTAAGTACCAACTGTGTGCGAACTGCACCAAAACGCTACATCGCAACTTAAAACTTGCAGGTGGCGGTACCTGCATCTTGTCTACGAAGTATTTCGTATCTTACAATGGTATGTAAAATCGATGAACAAATGCGGCAACTTTCGACAGCTGAAGAAACCGGCAATGGTGACAGAAGAAGCTAACCTTGTCTCGCCGGCCTTCGCCGGGCCTAACCTTGTCCTCACGACGTCGCAGACGGCTCTTGGAGAGGCCAGCAAGCATGAGACCAACCGCATATGCTCCGGCGTCTTACGTTTATTAATACGGAGCATTTCGCCGCGCCGGTGGACCTCATGCGAGCAATTTGACCAATTTGCCTGTCTGTTGAGCCGCGTGCATCCTCTCTGTAAGTATTTAATCTATGTCCTATATGAGCTACCTTGGGACTTGAATTTTGGAGTCTGAAGGACAGCTTTCACTTTTGAAGATGACATCCAATGGCGATGTGAGCAGCGGACGGCATCGAATTCACAAGCCAAAATATGCTACTCGTAATGCTCATATTACGTGCTCCTTGTCAGGTTGTTTACGCATACTTTTGGAGAGGAAGTGCTTGGGGATAAAATATAAAATAAGAAAGGAAAAATGGGTTGTGGAACACGGTAAAGAAGGTCGAGGTAGTTGTCAAGGATCCATCTTCACCAAATCAATGCAAAATACACTGACACGACGAAGACCGTTCCCTCAGATGCCGTTCAACCCCAAAACAGCATCATCTTTACCAGTAGCAAATCTCTCATCCAGAGTCATGAAATAGTATGTGCTGAACTAACTATATGCAACAAAAACCCGGTATTGCGCCGTATAAATGTACTCGGTATTGTATTCAACTGGCCGTCCGACGAACCTCACTCATCAGGCCAAGCCCGCCCAGGGACATCTGTCACACTAGATCGTCGCCGCTGACGAGCCGCCCGCCACCGCTTGAACAGGCTGCCTCGACCGTCAATCCTGTCATCGAGACCGCCGCCCCGTTGGCGGCCAACGGCACCGTCGTAAAAGACGTGGCCGCCATTGGTGTGGGCTCCGCCGCCGCCGCTACCCCAAGTCTTCTTCTAAAAGACGCCACCGCCGATAATAAACAACCGCTCTTCCTCCCGCTTCGCCCACTGGACGATGCGGTTGGCATCTTGTGTGACCACGGCGCGCGACGCATTCGGCCCGGCCACGCAGTAAAACTCAAAGACGGGCGTCACCCACACCAGACTTGTGGCGTCCTCGCCCACGCAGTGCAAAATCTTGAGGTGGGCGTGGCGCGCGTGCACGGCGGCGTGCAGCTGGTGGTACACGGTCATGAGCCGACGACGGGCCTCTCGTGTTTGGGACTCGTGCGATGCTTCAGAGGACATGGCAAACTGCACGTTGGCGCGTGACTTGTACAGGAAATGGTGGATCTGCACGGCCGTCCCCGGTCGCTTTACAATGTCGGCCACCTTTGGCCGACCGGCTGCGATGGCGTCGCGGATCAGGGCTAGGCCCCCGTTCTTGGTCATGTTTTGTGCCACCTTGTCGCGCATTTCCTTGAGTTCGAAAAAGCTTTCCTTGTCGGCGCTGATCAAGATGATGGCAATGCTTTTGTCGTCCGATGTAGGTGTAGGTGAAGACACAATCGGTTTTGCATCCGCTTCACCGCCCTCGGCATCGAAAAAGCTAACGTACATATAGAGGTAGCCACTGCTGTTAAAGGCCGGCAAGCACAGGGGGATCCAGTTTTCGCCGCCACCAGCCTTGATGCCACCCGACTCAAAGAGCATATTGAAAATGAGTTGCAGATCACTCGGGTGTAATGAGTGCTTGCGTGGCCGGATCACACTGACGAGCTTGCCGCCCGCGACAATCAACCCGTACAGCAGCTTATCCGTCCGCTGTTTGAGAAATGTGCTTGTGATCGAGGCGCGTTGAGACTTGCGCAGCCGCAGGCACTCGAGCGCGCCCAGCATGGCCGACGGCGAGCCCTTTGTGAAGCTATCGGCGAGCGACGCCAGCAAACCTTCGGTGCCTTGCAGTGGTTTGCGCAGATCAGTGGATGGCCGGTTGGCGAAGATGCGCGTGAGCGTAGGCAGCGTCAAGGTCGAGAGAATCTGCATGTACAATGCCCGCAGCTGCTCACGAAGTTGGGCATCGCTCTCGCCCAAGCGGCTGATTGCCAAAAGGTAGAGAGGGCCCTCAATGACAATGACAAAGCGCGCGTTGCCTGCCGTGAACCCTTGCAGCGGGTTGTCGGCGCCCTCGTAGAACGAGATGATTGTCTGGATCACGCCCATGTACGAGTTGACCAGACTCAGGTCGCCGTGGCGGCTCCAAATGGGCTTGCCCGCCGACGACAGGATCATGTAGTGCTTCAGTTTGGCCTTCCAAGCGGCCAACCGCAGTTCCTCACTAGGTATTTCGTGTTTGTGTTCGCCGCCCGCGCCGTCGCCGTCGCCCAACTCGCCCCCTCCACTGTCGCTCTCGTCGCCGTCGTGCAGCTCCTCAAACTCCTTGTCAAAATCAGCCAACGAGTAGGGTACACGGGCAATACGCGTGCTTTCAAACGGTTGCACGCTTGTGGCCTGCGTCCTGAGCAGGGTCCAGGCCCGACTCTTTCGGTGAAAGTCGCCCACGGCAAGGCTCGCCAGGTCGCCCGGTGGCCGCATGGTCGGCGCAAAGCTCATAACGCTCACGGCATCGGCCGGGACTTCAGACACATCACCGAAACTGCCAATCCCACCACTGCTACTGGCGGCTCGCCGGTGCTGTTGTTTGGATCGTAAAGACAGGTTGGGAGAGGTCGAGGACGAGGCGGTCGTCGACACGGCGCGCATGCCCGGCGTCGAAAAGGTGCCGCGCGAGCCGTCGGGGAAAGAGAGGGTCTGGATATCGATTGAGGAGACGGCCGTCGTCGGCTTGGCCTGCAGCTGGGCCGACTCAGGTCGTCGTGGTGAGCCATCAGCGCTGGAAGGACGTCGCGGTGGGAGGGGCGGTGGAGACGAGGACGGCTGCGTGGATGGTTGTTTTGGAGATCTATCGAAAGCTGTCGTCGGTGCTGTGACTGGAGGCGCTGCCTTGCCCTTGTTGGGCTCGGCCATGATGATCCTTTGGCTTCAGCTTCAGCTTCTTTGAGCCTTTCCTTAGCTGTCATCGCACCCCAACAAAAGCGACGATGTGTATGCGCTATAAATGTACGGTAAATCCCATGTCGGATGCGCCCGTATGTGTGGGAAAGGACAACTGTGGACGTGGTTTGGTCGCGTGCGTTGTTGGATAGATGCGGCAGAAAATGAGGTTCCAGTAAGGAAGACAGACTTGTGGTGTGTGACGTTATTTGTCGCACATGCAGAGGCCCTATAAACAACACAGTGCCTGCTGGGTTTACGATAAGATGAGCTGCGGTGGGAGGTGAAAATGAGGGGAAGGAGCCACCAGCGCGCCAGCTGGGATGATGGGGATTTTATGGTGAATTACGGCATACAAGCGCCAGGCAGCCGCTAATTTCAGGCCTGCCCTATGCGACAGCGCTAAAAGGCCGTCACCTCAGGCCACAGAGACCACAAGACACACCGCCTTCGGGGCACCGTCGGCTGCGTCGCCCTTGCCTGCTGTAGCGCGCTTGTTGCACCTTCCCAGGGGACCACTCCTTGCAAGCTCCCTCCCCCTTTGGGAAGCCACGACCACGATTCTGCCAGTTGGCTTCAACGTCGCCTTGCCCTTTCCAGCCATCTTCGGCCCCTCGCACGACTCTCACGCCCTCACGACGACACGTCCGTCATGCCAGCTTCTAAGGACGACACGCTGCCAATCCACGACGCCTAACTCTTCGAGCGCATTCTCCAGCTTCCTCTCTTTCGAACGGGGCCCCTTTCGCTATGGCTCCGGAGCTGCCATCGGGCCGACGGTCCATGTCACCAGAGAGCTCTGGACGTGACTCCCCTGCGCCGCGTCAATGGCGGAACCAGCTGGGCGCAGGTGCGTAATGCCGTGGCGATCCTGTTGTGGTCGAGGCGTTGGGAAGCTGTTGCGCCCGTTACTAACATGTCTTTGGGTCCAGATGAGCCCCTGACGCGCGACAAGGCTTTCCGCAAGTATGCCACCGGCGTCGACCGTGCTCTCTCCTTGTTTGAGACGGCCCTCCAGGAATGGGCCGACTACATTTCGTTTTTAAACCGTCTGCTCAAGGTTTGTGGATTTCTTTCATGGGGCTTGAAGTGGTACTGTTAATTTGCCATTTTCCTGCATATTAATGCGTCGTATAGGCCCTGCAGTCGCGGCAAGCTTCCATCACCACAATCCCGGCCAAGGCTGTTGTCGCCAAGCGGCTCTCACAATGCCTCAACCCGTCTCTCCCCTCCGGCGTCCACCAGAAGGCGCTCGAGGTCTACAATCTTGTTTTCTCCATCATCGGCACCGACGGCCTGTCCCGCGACATGCCGCTCTACCTGCCCGGCCTCGCGCCAACGCTCTCCTTTGCCTCGCTCTCGGTCCGCGCACACTTCTTTGACCTGCTCGAGCGCCACTTTCTTGACGTCGAACCACGCTCACTACGGCCGGCTCTCAAGGCGCTCATCCTTGCGTTGCTGCCAGCGCTGGAGGACGAAACGGCGGAGGATTTTGACCGCACACTCAAACTGCTGAACCGCTTCAAGACCGCTGTGCGGCCACTCGACAGCGAAGAGCTCACACCAGAGCACGCTACAGGCGACGACTTTTTCTGGCAGTGCTTCTTTCTGGCTACCATCACCAGCCAGAGCCGGCGGCCCGGCGCCCTAGCCTACCTCACACGCTACCTGCCCAAGCTCGGCCAAGCCATGTCTAATGGTAAAGATGCCGCGACAAAAGCATCCACGGCCGACGCCCAACTAATGTCCAAGCTGTCGGAGATCATCACATCGCCTGAGCCAGGCCTGCTTTTGCGGTGCTTTACAGCCGGCCTGGCCGACGAGCAGCTGCTGATCCAGCGTGGCTTCCTCGACCTCCTCGTAGCGCACCTCCCGCTGCATGCTGCAGTGTTGCAGTCTCACGTCAAGCCGGCCGACCTCGAGCTGTTAATGCGTGCGGCATGTGGTGTTGTCACGCGGCGCGAAATGAGCCTGAACCGACGCCTGACGGCCTGGCTTCTGGGGCCAACGCCAGCGAACGGTGACGCCGAACGGGAAGCCGAGTCCCCGTCGGTGCTGGAGAGTCGCAACGCAGGCTTTGCATTCACACAGAAAACGAGCTACTTCGAGGAGCATGGGCTGCATCCCTTGACGCGCGCTTTGCTGAGTATGGTTCAGTCGAATCCTGGCAGCACGCCCGCCGAGCGCGCACGACCCTACCGTATATGTCTGTCGCTTATGGACCGATGGGAAATCGGCGGGCTTGTCGTGCCCGAGGTGTTCCTTCCGATTGTTGACAGTGTGCGCAAGTTCAAGGCCGAGGCCGCCTCCAAAGCCGATTTCAACGAGGTGCTTCGCAGTGCGAGCGTCTTCTTTGACGGTGTCGAGAGCGGCCTTATCTATGGCGAGATGCTCAGCCTAGTGGCCCAGGCCATTGGCCCTGGTGGCAACCTCTCGGCGGCTGATCGGGCAGACAAGTTGGCCCTTGTCAAGTTTATTCTGGGGCACTTTAATGTCCGCGAGGAGGAGATGACAACCATTCACGCCCCATTGTCAGCACTCTCCATCCTGTCCATGCTCGAGGACATGGAAAACCGGACATCGTCAGCCGAGACCGAGACGACGCCTGAGATCACCATAGAGGCGCTCGGTATTGCGGCCGATCTCTTGGATATTGTGCCCGAGCGCGCATTCGTCTCATCCAGAGACAAGGGTGACGGCAAGTCGGTTGTCAAGCACAAGACACAGTCTAGCTTGCCGAACGCAGAGCTTCTCAAGAAGATCCGTGACTTTTACGTCAACGACCAGGGAAATCTGGACACGGCAACGCCGCCCTACGCTCCGCAGGCGGTAGCCGATCTGCTCCTGCAGAGAGCATGCAGCATCGGCTGCCAATCTCTGGATGGCGCGGCCGACATCGACCTGCCGCTCAAGAGCCGCATTCTGCTCGTCCTCCTGGACAAGATCCCACTCAAGACACCATTCAACGTGTCCGACCTCCTCTCCTCCCTTCACGGCCGTCTGGTGCGGGACGGCGACGCCACTACTTTCACCACCTTTTCCTCCATCCTCACCATCTCCATCGACCTCCACCTGAGCGAACGCATCTCCACAAACGACCTGTCGGCCATCGTGCCGCCGCTCGTTGCCCGCGCCTGGAAGTTCTTGAGCGCGACCGAGCCCAAGTACCACGTCGAAACCGTGCGCAACCTGTGGCTCCTCCAGACGGCACTAGGCACGACAAACCGGGATATTGAAGCCGCAATCGCTGAGCTCATGATACGGACAGATGTCAAGGGCGCCTTTGCAAGCCGCAACGCCGATCCCGGCCGCAACTTTGGTGTGTTATGGCTTCACACTCTACAGGACAGCAACCCGAGCGCGTCCGACCGGCGGACACCCAAGACACCCAAGACACCCAGCTCGAGTCTGCGGTCGTTCCCCCGGCTTGCTGGCGTCGACCACTACGACGTGATGCTGACCCGCCCTCTTCTCCTGATGCTGGACGCTCTTCTCGATGAGCGGACGCAGCTGTTTATGGCCGTCAAGACGTGGTTGACGTCTCTAGTGGGACTAGACCGGCTTTTCCTTATCCTGGCAAAGAAGTTTTTGGACCTGGGCATCCTGCGCAGCAGACCAGAAAAGAAAAGTGTCGGCAACAAGTCTGAGTCTTCGGCCCGTGACACCGACATAATCGACACGGACATGTGCCTCTACTACCTACGAACACTCTCCAACATCTTCAAGTGGGCACCCGAGACATTGTGGGCTGTTCTTGCGCGGCGGACAATCTCGCTGGACCTTCTGCGAGAGAGCGCCAGTGATCTCAGTAAGTGAAAAATGTGACGTTGCTGCGTATGGTAGCCGTGTGTGATACTAACGTCAGTCGCAGTCAAATCCGAAGACACTGAAGTGACCTACCAGGAGTTCTTTGTTCATGTCTGCATGAAGTGCATCGTTCCCGCCGAAGCCTCCCAAGATGGTGACCCGTTGACCGACCAGCGCGATGCCCAGCTGTGCCGTTTTGCCCTCTCCGCTCTCCACCAAATCCTCCTCAGCCCCCACGCCGCGGCTCTCTCCAAACTGCACCTAGAAGACGAGCTCCTTGAGCGCCTCGCCGAGGCTTTGCAGGGACCTGACCCGTACATCCAGACACTTTTGCTAGACGTCCTCCCTCCAGCCCTCAAACTTCGCGATGTCACGCCCGTCGAGCAGCCGGCGTCACCCAACAGCGAAAAGCGCAAGTTTAGTGGTGGCGACATCTCCAAAATGGTCTCGCCGCCAACCAAGGAGGTATCCGACGTCATTCTCCCGCCGCCGGCCTCCTTACTGAAGTGCATTCAGGCCGGTCTAAGTGCACCCAGCAGCCGTGCAGTCCTGGACAGCTGGGTTGGGTTCCTGTCGATTTGCCTACCATTCTATACCGATTCCATATTCCAGGTCCTGATTCCACTTGTGGAAACGCTATGTGCACAGGTTGGTGCCACCTTCTCCGATCTCCAGGAGACGTTCCGTAACCCACGACCTGCAGTCCGAGCCGACACAGACGCGCCTGAGACGACACTCATCTCGCTCCTCAATGCCCTCGAGCAAATTTTGGCGACAGGCCACCAGAGGTTGCTAGCCGAAGAGTCGCGGGTGCAGTCTGTCAAGAGCCCTGACCAGCCGCAAAGTTTCTTTGGCAACATCTTCGCATCGGATGCCCCACAGACCCGCAGTTCCACGGCCAACGACCGTTTGACGGTGCTGCTGGCCTTCCAGGACGCCGTGCGCATCTGCTTCCGGATCTGGTCGTGGGGTAAGAGCGGCAGTTCCTCGGCGGCGGCTCTGGATATGACGTCGGCCGCATCGTTTAGTTACACATCGATGCGGGTGCGCAACCGTGCCCGGCGACTGTTGGAGCACTTGTTCCGCGCCGAGACGCTCGAGTGCCTGGAGACGGCTATAGACATTTGGCGGAGCGCACTAGTTGGGCAGAGCAGCGCCAGTGCGGGTGAACAGACGACAGCGGTGGCATCCAAGCTCTCGAACAGCGGCAAGCAATACACCGATGTGTTCGACCTGCTTCTAACCCTTGACGCCTCGCGACCACGGCACTCGATCCCGGCCATTTTCAACTCCATCTATAGCCGCACCAATCCCACAGCGCTCGATCCTGCCCGCAAATCAACGCTGACCATCTCGCTGCAAGATACGGATATTGTTGTCTTCCTTGTGGACTACACACGGTCGCTCGAGGACGATGTGATGGACGAGATTTGGCAGGACTGCACCATCTTCCTCAAGGACCTGCTGGGCAACCCGTTCCCGCACCGGCAGTCTCTGCCGTGTCTCCTCGAATTTGCGGCCATTCTCGGCGAAAAGGTGGACAACACCAATTTTGGCGAACAGCGCAAGATGCGGCGCGAACTGGGGGTGAGTTGGCTTTGAATGCTTCTTTAAGGTTCGAGATCTACCATACCATATACTGACATAACAGGACATGTTCCTCCGCTTGCTGACTGCACTATTTACGACGCGCCCCATCACATTCCCCGATGGAGCGGCGTCCGGTCCTCAGCTTGACCGCGGGACAGCTTCTGTTGAGGCCGGCGGCACTAGCAAGGTGTCGGGCCACGCACAACCGTCGCCCCCGTCCGTACTCGTGACAGCGGATTACGGTAGCCCGTCTGAGCGTGCGGACGACGTTGTGGGCATCCTGTCATCGATTGTGCCGAACCTGCCTAAAATTCTGATGGAGAACGACCGCGTGCAGTCGGCGGCGACGACCATCTCAAGCAGTGTCATCGTCCCAACCATCCGCGCCAAGTCGTTCCCTGAGACCATGTCCCGGACAACGCTGGTGCTGCTGCAAGAGCTGTCGCGGCTGCCCAACAACCAAAAGGGCTGGAAAAAGGACGTGTCGGACGCGTTCAACGACGCGCGCTTCTTTGCGACCAGCCTGCCGCTCGTACGCAGCGACTGGCTGACGCTGCTGCGGCAGTGGTCCGTCAACGACAAGGAGCGCATGCCGGAGCTTCTCAGCCGGCTCACGGCGCCAACGACGGCGGGTATCGTGTTCGGCGTCGGCGCCACGTCGGCACGTCTCGAGGCTGACCGACGCACGCAGCTGACGCTGCGGCGCGTGGCGCTGCTGATTCTCGCGGGGGCGCTGGATGCGTTCGTGTCCGACCTGCCGACCATTACAGAGAAGCTGGTGGAGCTGCTGGGCGCGTCGGCCACGTCGTCGCCGTCGTCGACGACGCGCGCAGAGGTGTACCTTGTGCTGCGGGCGCTGGTGCTGCGGACGAGTGCGGTGCACCTGGCGGGGCTGTGGCCGCTGGTGGATTCGGAGCTGCACGCGGCGATTGCGTCGATTGTGGCGCCGGACAACAGCACGGCCGCCGACACGTACAACAATGCGTCGCTACTGCAGGCGTGCAAGCTACTGGATCTGCTAGTGTGCGTGGCGCCCGACGACTTCCAGCTGCGCGAGTGGCTCTTTGTGACGGACACGATTGATGCCGTGTACCGATCGGCAATGTACCAGCCGGTGGCACTGGCAGACGAGCTGTCCGAGGAACTGGGCTCGGCGATGATGTTTAGCCACCACATCAACTCGGGCGTGGGTCTCGAGTCGGCGACGGCGCTGGCCACGAACAACACGCTGAAGCGGCCACTTTTGGGCGCGGCCGCGGCAGGCGGTCTCAGCGACGAGGTCAGCCTCGAGCGCAAGGACGAGCTGGTGTCCAAGGTGTTGCGGCCGTTCTTCAGCCAACTGAGCATCTACGCGTTCGAGTCGACGTACACAATGGCACCGGTGGACACGGAGGGGTGTGTGGACGGAGTGCTCAAGGACCTGTTTGACGAGCGGGCCATTGTTAAGGCGTTGTAATGTAAAAGCAAAAAAAGGAAACTCGTGATTGGGTATATACGTAGGTATGACAAATGACAATGACAAAAAAGGGCAATATAACCAAAATTCACGAAAAATTACGCGACCGAAGTATGCAAGCACGCTCACTCCGACTGCTCCTTCTCCTGTGTCTGAACCAGACGCCGCAGCGCCTCCTCATCGGCTGGGTAGTAGGCGACAAGGGCCTTGCTGAAGCCATGCATGCAATACTGGACAACGTCAAGCTTGGGCTCGGGAGGCGGGTTCTCGCCGTCCGCAGATCCATCTCCGTTCACGTCTGCGGCCTTCCTTTTTGGAAACACGTCGGCCAGCTGCTGCAGATCACTTGTCCGTGGCAGGTAGAGCGCATGTGGCAAGGGATAGCAGGCGTCGTGCAGCGCCTGGAGGTTGTAGGGTTCCATGGTCGAGAGGTCGAACACGGCCTGGGATGTGTAGCTGACACCGCCCCACGGGGGCGATGCAAAGAGGACGGTGTTGTTGGGGTCAAGGGACCCAACTGCACCGTCTATGGGTATGTCGATGCCGGCGTCGGTGAAGGTGGTGGTTTCTCCGATGCGGTTGCCGGCCATCCGTCCTCCCAACAACTCCTTCAACACTTCAAAACAGTCACCGAGCACCCACGTAATGACGCCCTCAGCCACGCCCGAAATACGGGCATTCTCCTGAGCACAGGCCAGCGTATCTGCGTCGCGCTCGATGCTGATGATACGGTCAAAGTAGCCCCAGAGCGCAAAGGCAATGGTGTTGCCGCCGGCGCCCGCAAACATGTCGACGATGGTTGTGGCGGGCGCGGCTGCACTGTAGTCTGTTTCCCGAGAAGAGTCGTCGGGAAAGACGGGCAGCGGTATATCCTCGGCAATCTTGCGCGCCACGGGCTCCGGCGTGACACCGAACCAGGCGTCGTCGGTCAGGAAGATGCCATCGTTGTAGTTGGGGAAGATCTTGAAGCGGTTCTTCCAGTATTTGTGAATATCCCAGGGGACGTCTTCGAGGCGGGTGTAGTGGTGGCAGTTGTCCGTGATGGGCAGGTCTGGGGCGACCTGGACCATGGTCGCTGTTTCCCGTGTGCTCGTAGGCAGAGAAAACTTTGATGTAAAAAGGGAACAAAATAAAACCGATGAGATTGAGACGAGGCTGGCTCAAAGTGAGATTATATTTAATAACAAGTGAGAGCGGAATGTTGAATGCGATCGCTAGAGACACCAGGAATGGCCAAGCACAATTGCAATATTCCGTCTGTCCACGCTACCTCAGGCGAAGAAGTGCAAGCCGTGGCATCGTGTGATGTGGACGTTGATGTGACGTTGGCTGTCGATGCTTCCTAGACTGAGATTTTTCGCGAGGCTACGCGGCCTCGTAGCGCCTTCCAACATTAGGGTGCGTGGCTCCACTTTATTCCCAATACAGCAGCTACAACTAAGGCCAGCTCTTGGCCAATGCAGAACGCTGATTCGCCAGCGAGTAAGCAATAAGTAGCAGGACGGAGGGAAGGAGCAAGCTGTCCACTGCAGCCGCGACGTCAGCTACAACAGACCACAGTACCAGCAAACAACACTCAGCACCCAATACGCACACGCAAACGCACACGCAAACGCAAAGAAACCCACAATCCAACGCCAACCACCCTTTGACGCCCTCTCCACCACACAGACAGACGCAAGACACCACGGCCGCAAACAAAACACAGGGACAGCATGTTCAATGCACTCAACCGCTTCATCTCGCGGCTGGACGGCGACGGGCCGGCCGCGGACAGGGAGGCCACGCACGGCACGTTTGGCTTCCAGGTGCTGCGCAACACCAACCTGAAGCTCACAGTCGAGCCCTGGTTCGACTTCATCGTGGGCATCAACGGCCGCATGATTGACGACTCGGACCCGATGCTGTTTGCGCAGGAGGTGCGCAACTGCGCGGGCGGCACCGTGACGCTGGGCCTCTGGAGCGCCAAGGGCCAGCGCACGCGGACGATGCACGTCCCCGTGCCCTACGACACGGCGTCGTTGGGACTGTCGCTGCAGTGGACGCCGCTGGCCGTCGTGTCCAACATCTGGCACGTCCTGGACGTGCCCGCGCGGTCGCCCGCCGAGGCGGCTGGTCTGCTGCCGTACAGCGACTACATCCTGGGGACGCCCGAGGGCGTGCTGCACGGCGAGAGCGGGCTGAGCGAGCTGGTGGAGGACCACATTGGACGCCCGCTGCGGCTGTGGGTGTACAACAACGAGTACGACGTGACGCGCGAGGTGTCGATCCAGCCGAGCCGCGACTGGGGCGGCGACGGCGCGCTGGGGTGCGTGCTGGGCTACGGGGCGCTGCACCGGCTGCCGGCGCCCCTGAGCGAGCCCGTGTCGGGACCGGGCGAGACCATGTTTGACGGCGACAACGAGAAGCACCAGTACCACCTGCACGCAGGAGCACCCAGCGGAGCGGTGGCGGCAGGCGACTTGTTCGAGCAGGCGGCGACGACACCGACGGCGGCGACCTTTGCCGGAGCCGAAGCACCAGCAAGCGGCGAGAATGGAGGACCACCACCGGCGGCCGACAACTTTTTGGTCCCGGCACAGCTCGTGTCACCCCCACCGCCGCCACCACCTGCTGGCAGTGCAGGGGCAGGGGGCAGTGCGACGGGCGGAACAGCAACCCGCTCGAAGAAGAAAGACCGGCATCTCAACACGGGCGGCAACGCAGCAGGCCTGTCGGTGGACGACTACTTCAAGGAGGAGGAGGCGAAGAGTCAGCAGCTGGATGGTGCGCCGAGCCGGTCCATTACACCCGTGGCGCCGCCGCCCAAGGGTGGTCCGCCACGAGCTGGTACGCCCAGGGAGGTAGCAACGGACGAGAGCTAGGGAGCTGGAGTGGGATTGGTACCTTGAGGGCCAAGGAACGGCGTACAGCGGGCTATGAGTGTACGACTATCTTATATCATGGATGGGATCTAAATACAATACTAGAAAGATACGGCAAGGAAACAGAAACGTGCGAAACACAAGGTGACCAAGTGAGAAGTAGTATCGACGCAAGGAAACAGACATTCGTTATGAAGCTCGCGAAAATACGAAAACACAAACGCACGAGCACAAGGAATAAATACAAAAGACAAGACGCCAGTTCTTTGCAGCACCGTTATTGGGTGACTTTTCATTTGAAGCACACTCGCATCCACAAAAACCTCACCTCGACTACGCCCCCCCGCCCCCCCCCCCCTCCCCCCTCTCTCTCTCGGCTCCTGATCCATTTCTGTAGCGCATCTTGTTGCACCCGTCGTCCGGCCTTGCCCTGTTTCTTGCCGCTCATCGGCCCCACGCCGTTTGCCTTAGTTGATAAAGTTGACGCAGAAGAAGTGCAGTATCAGGCTGCACACCACATAGTCGGCAAACGCTCTCTCGGGCGAGACGGCGGGGAAGTCGGACTTGTTGGCCTCGGTAGTCTGGATACGGAGGGATGCTAGACAGGGAGTTGTTAGTACGTGTTTTCGAGTAAGTAGGCAGAGGCAGAGGCAGACGTACCCGTCAGGACAAACTGGCCGACGGTCGACGAGAAGCCGGAGAGGAATGCGTTGAAGGGCTGCATTTGTTAGCTGTGTCTCCGAACCGTGCATTGACACGACGTCCCAGTTCCTTGGGCCCTTCACATACATAATTGCCAGCCAGGACGCAGTAGACAAACTGCAGTGCGCCGACGGCGACCAAAAAGGCCATGAAGGCGTCCAGCAGCTTCGTCCGCTGGGGGGTCGCCTTTTGGTAGTGCGACAGCAGGTTGTCGACGACGTTCTGCAGGGCATTGCCAGAGCCGGAGGAGGAGGACGACGAGCTCGAGGCCGCGGGCTTGGCCGCTGGGACGGCAGCAGGTGTCGTCGTCGTCGATGTCGTCAGGACAGAGGTCGACGAACCGGTCGCCGCCGCCGAGGGTGTCGCGCTGCGCCTAGCCATTGTGAGACTGTGGGCGACGGAGTGCTGTAGGCCAATTGGATTTCGAGTATTGCGATGGGCGCGGTCGAGATGTTGTTGTCAATGTGTCGTCGAAATCGTCAATGTGTCAAGGTGTCGGCCAAGGCCACGAAGCTGGAAGCTCCCTTTCAGCAACAGCGCGCGTACACCCACCTGTGGCGCTAGCGCAAGGCCTGGTTAGAGGACAGGACACGCAGCCTTCTTGGGTTTGCGGGGGCCGGAAACCGCGCTAGTAAAGTCACGTGCATTTGTGGGTCAGTGTGAAGACGTCTAGCTTTGAGTTTGAAAAGTGAGTGAAAATGAGCCTGGAATGTCATGAGAGTGAGTCGATGGAGAAAGTCATGGAGAAAGTCATGGAGAAAGTCATAGAGAGAGTCAATATGAGTGAAAGTGAAATGATACTGACAATTGGAATTCATACAAAACATGATTAAATAAGAGAGAATGAATCGAAAATAGAAAACCTTTTTGAGAGACAAACTGATGAAATAAACACATCGTGAGACTGGCAACAAAAGCATGCTTCATGGTCGTTTGCATCTCTCACTGTTGGCTTCCCTTGGCCTTCACTCTTCACACAAAGATGACTCCTTCACAAATAACACGTCTCAGTGACTTTGGGCCTGAAGCCGCAGCTTGTCAAGTCGTTACTTTGCACACCCAACGGCCACGTTGGACATCAGCCTCATTGCCTTGTTTGCACCCCCCGCCTTGATCGCCGTTTTACCCGCTAAATTATGCCAACGGGATGAATAGAATTTGCCAATGCTCGCCAAAGCCTGGCGAAGTGGTCAAAGCGGACAATCTTTGGAAAGTGGTGCTTTGAACGAACTGCTGAAGTGTTTTGATGTCCCTGTTTTGTGTTTCTCGACACGGCCGTGCAAGAAATAAATGAACACTATTCCTTGAATTTCGGGTAAAAAACAGAAGAACTCGACAAGGAAAGAAACACCAGGGCGACTACATGGCCAACAAAGAAGATGCACCATTCACACAAAGTACCGATGCGTCCATCTTCGCTCGCCTCACTCGCCCGGATCGCTTGGTCCTCTCCCTGCATGTACAAAAGGGGAATGAAGCAAAGACACTGCAAAGCCCAGCCAATGTATGCGAAAGCCATTACCCGTTGCCTTTCACCGGGTGCAGAACTGCGTCGTCCGCCACGGAGATGTTTAGGCTCGCTTATCGGATGGCTGTGCAGTTACTGTATGATAATTGCAGCGCACAAGCGGAGCACGGGGTACTTCCAGTGGCTTTCTCATTTCCTTGTCCGGATTTGCTCGCTGGTCTTGCATTGACGGACAAATTTGCGTCCAGGTGAACAGGTGAATGTATATTTCCATTGTCCTCGCCGTGTAATTACTGGCTAATTTAAATCTCGACAAGCCGCCATCGTGTGTCCCAACATGGCACTAGTGAACAACAAAGGGCCAAAATTGGACGAGGCCAAGGACCGGAAGGGTGAATTGTGCTACTTTACTCCGCACACGCAAGATGCCAGCGTTCTGTGAATATGCATGAGGCATGTCCGATGTCGATGCCCGCGCCACCAGAAAGAGCCCAAGGCGGTAGGTACAGAATAGAGTGGCGCGTGTTGCCACTGTGGGCCGACAGGGCAACAAACTGATGTGGCTTGGCTTGGCCAAGAGTGGCGTCGGACCCGCCTTGCAGCGCTTGTCCTCTGTATTACAGCTCGCCGGCACTGGGACGGGACGCGAGCCTATATCGAAAATGTCAATAATAATCCAATAATCCAAGAATCCAAGAATCAAAATAATCAAAGTAATCAAAAAACTCAAAAACTCACGTCGTCTACAGAACAAAAATGCCAAGCGATAGTGCTCCGTGATATGCCCATGTCGATCTTGGCCCTGTGCTCGTTCTTTTTTGTCCTTTGTCCCTCGTCCTTTGTGTTTTTCCATCGTATCCTCTGCCTCCTACATTCCAGTGCCTTCTGTGCCTTTTTCTCTGTCCTTTGTTTGTGCCCGACCCAATTAGAGTCGGTCTTATTTCGGATGGCTCGTAGGAAGTCCTGCTCGGGCAATGGCCCGACTCCAAGGCCAGACAAGCTCGGCTTCCACGCGCGTCGATGCAGGTACATCGACTTGCCACGCCCTTGGCCCCTTGGCTTGCCCTGATCTGCCGTCCCCCGCATCAAGTCAACCAATCTAATCGCAATCTGAGTCGGTCTGCCATGGGGCTTCGGGGCTGTCGTCGTTGGTGCTCGCCTTGTTTGTTCATCTAATTTCTAGTGACAGACCGTTGCCTTGAAACACCCACAGAGGACGCCTACAGAGACACCCAGACGGACTGCCGCCATGCACGTCGTCACTGACAAGCGTCTTGTCTTTGCGTGTCTTTTGGCTGTGAACGTACCGGCCGCCATAGAGTGCCCATTGATGTCGTCCCGCTCACACTGCTGCTGTCTTTAATCTATTTCGTCAGGCCCCCTTGGGCTGTCTCTGGGCGTCTCATGCCGCTGGTCTTGGTCTGCGTGCCATCCTTGTGCTTCCGTGTGCACGTCTCCGTCCGTATCTCTTTGCGCCCGGTCTGTTTGTCCCCATCTGTTGTTTGTTTGTGCCTGCACGACCTCGTCACTGGCACGCCAGTTTTCACTCAAGCTCGTATTCTCGTCGCCACAACCAACCGGTGCTCTTTGTCCCCTCTCCCAGACGTTTTATTCCGTGCCCATTCCGTAGACTCCTTCGTCACACCACGCCCCGAGGTCTCAACTATAAAACAGCGCTGCGTCCTCCTGCCGTGCTGCCACTCCTTCTCGTCTCTTATCCTGCAGCTCTCACACGTTTCTCGCCCACTCTCTCCCAGATTCACTCCCCGTACCACTTCACGCCGTCCCACCACCCTTTTCCCAAAATGCGTGTCTCGACTCTTCTCGTGGCCTCGGCGGCCGGCGTCATGGCCCAGGATGCTTCTGGCCCTCTCACTGGTGTATGTAGATGTGCTTGCCTCGACCCAACATATTAGTCTGTCCATCGCCATCTACTAACAGCCATCCCTCCCTCCACAGTCCCGCGGAAACGCAACTGTTACGCACAACAACCCCGCGAATTTCACGTATGTTGCCATCCTGCCGAGCTCCGCCTTTGCTGCCGGCGCTTTCCCCGAAGGCGGCAACTTCGTGGGCGGCGTCTGGGCGGAAGCCGGCCCGGGCGGCGTCGGCGTCACCTACCGCGTGAACATTTCCCACCCGCCCAGCACAGGTGGACCCTTCATGTACCACGTCCACACCCATCCCGTCCCGCCCAACGGCAACTGCTCCGGCGCTCTTGGCCACCTCGACCCCTACGACCGCAAAGACCAGCCGCCCTGCGACTCCAACCTCAAGGAGACCTGCCAGGTCGGCGACTTGAGCGGCAAGTACGGCGACATCTCGTCGGATCCCTACTCCGCCACCTACCACGACCTGTACTCGTCGACGGATCCCAACAGCGAGTCGTTCATTGGCAACCGCAGCATTGTGGTGCACTTTGCCAACACCACGCGCATTACCTGTGCCAACTTCACCGTGGCGGAGCTTACGCTGACCCCGGCCAACCGCACAACGACCGCACCGACCGGCACCCGCACCGGCTCCGGTGCTGGCTCGCCCTCTAACGAGCCATCGTCGCGTGTGACCGTGTCGGCTGCTAGCGGGCATTCCGCTGGCGCGGCTGCTCTGGGTGTCGGTGCGCTCGGCGTGTTGGCTGCCATGGTCCTGGCTCTTTAAGTTGGTTAGATGACCTTGATGAGAGGCGTAGGCATAGTAATGAGGAGGGACTGGGTCTTGCTCACCTATTTTATTGCGCTCCTTGTTTGATTTTGTCAACGCCAGTTTGGGACTGTTTTAGAAGAGCGAGGAACTCGTTGAACCTGGACAGGCAACAAGAAGATAATATCGACTTAATTTCAGACAAAGCCTAATAGAACAATAATCAAACATTCAAGAAGCAGTAAGATATCATAGGTGAAAATGAGCTGTGTTGCAGCAAAGCCGAATTGGACCGGGAAGTGAACAATATTAGCTGAAAAGAGGAATATGTAAATGCAGCTGTTGGAAACCCAAAGACCAAAAACTATTGGAACAAAATATAGACAGTAAAATATAAACAGGTTTTTTTGTTAGTTTCCAGCTTGCTCCAGGTTTGTCACTTGAGTCTCGCATGTCTTCCAAATCTATTCCCGCCCAATAACATAAGGTCCAAAAAGACAAAAAAGAGGGCTCGAAAAAGAGAAGAGAAAAGCTATACAACAAAATAAAATAAAGAATAACAAAAAACAAGTACAAGAAGCAGAATAAAGTAACAAAAATTGAAATCAGAACAGACAACGAAACACAAAACGTCCGAAATGCAAAATAAGTCAAGATGAAGACAGATCAAACCAAATAATGTCAAAAAATACCCGTAAATCCCGGATTTTAATCTCATAGCGCCATGCCATCTTTCAGGCCCCGTTTCTCTCGGCTTTTGTTGGTGTTTTGTCTCTTCTTGTTGAGTCCCATGAATCCCATGCTATCCCAGTCTAAATGCGGTTATCGAGTTTGTTGCGTCGATACAGTAGGTCGTTCCTCTTTCTTGAGTGCACCGGCCGTATTATCGCCTCTTTTGTTGTCCGCCCTTTCCGTCTGAGATGCGAGATGAAAGTTTCCGAAATATGCCGCCTACTCCAGTTCTCGTTGTCTGTCCCGCCGTTTTATTTTTGGTGTATCCCGTAGTCTTTTTTTCCCGTCCGTTTTCCATGAATGCTGTGCGTCGATGCATTTGATTTTGCGCTCGGTGCCCGATTTCCAATAATTGTTTAGCGTAGTTCTTTTTTAAGTCCAAGGTTGCCCTTTATTTATTGTTGAACCACACCAACGGCCGAGATCTGGGGGATCCTCCATGCGGGGTGGATTTGCTTGCCGTCCCGTCCTGCAGCCCCTTTTCGAAGTAGCTTTGGTCGTTGGTCAACTGGCATCCCACTGTTTCTCCCTGTCCCATTCCATTTGCCGCCGTGCCGTATCGTTCATTGTAATAATCATTTACCGCCCAGTATAGTACATGCTTGTTGCTGCATGACCCTCGCTTGCTGGTGTTCCGCTGTGGTCGCCCCAGCCGACGTAGGCGTCCGAGCCGTCTTTGCTGTATGAATAGGGCTGTTGCCAGCTGGCGTAGGCGGTCGTGCCCACGGCACCGGCTGAGAGTGACACGTGGTGGTCCAGAGTTGTTCCTGGAATGCTGTCGACACCCGGAATGGTCGTGGGCGATTGGTACAAGTCGGACATCGCAGCGGCCGCGGCGGCGGCACTGGACTTGCGGTCGTAAGACGAGGATGAGGAGCGGTGGCCGCCATTGCTGCTGTGGGAGTGGTGTCCGCTGGTCATTTGCGAGATGGATGGGTAGGACTGTTGCTGGTGCTGGCCGTGGTGGCCGCCCATGGTGTCCGAACCAAAGGACAGTGAGCGTGGCGGTGGTGGAGGGTACGACCAGCCGAGGTCATCGCCGCCGCGTCCCGTGGCATCAGATGTCCAGGTGGCCGAAGGCGGTGCGGCGTGGGTGGTGTATGGCGAAAAGGCCGGTGTGATGGGCGATTCCTGAGGATAAGATCGCCATGAAGCGTTGAGGTCGCCTGGTTTCGACGAGCTGGGACTGGCATCTGCAGACATCCAGTTTGTCATGCCGCCATGGGAGTAATCAAAAGACTGCCTTCCAGACACTGAGTCTGTTAGTACCGCGTCACTACCTCGACTTGATTTTTTTTTGATTTTTGATTTTCATTTTTTACGTTTCACTTTTCTTTTCTTCATTTTCAACTTGTTTGACACTTGTTGACCTGGTACTTACGTTTCGGGTCAGGTGAAAACGGCTCCCCACCGGACGGCTTCATGGACGGGGGTGCCATAGTCTGGATCGAAGGCATGGTCAGCGGTTGAGTGTTCTGCTGCGGTCGGCCGCGAGGGTCGGGGTTCGGGAGGGTTGCCAGCGAAGGCAGTGGTAGTTGTGTAGGTGCGGGCATGAGTGGTGCAGAGCCTGAAGCGGATGCGGCTGATGCTGCTGCTGATGAAAGATGGTGATGGTGGTGGCCTACCGAAGAGCGTGACGTGGAGTTTTTGCGGGTGTCTGGTGGAGGCTGCTGGTCGACTGGGTAGAAGCTGCATTCTTTCTTGAGACGGATGCAGTTGACACAGCGGCCTTGGATGTCGGAGGGTGAGGGAATGCACCGTATCTTGCGGCGCCGGCAGTGGCCTAGCTGGTTAGTTCCTTTCCCCCCCGCGTACTCTTTGAATTCCTTTTTCCTTTCTCCTGCTCCTCCACCTCTCCATGGACTTACCACATGCTACCGACGTCCTGTGATAGCCAAGTTTGTTTCTTCTCTTCTCAGCGGCCAAGCTGATTGCCGCGTGATCGGACTGCGAGAGGCCCTGTTGCTGAGCCATGCTCATGTTTGCGTCTTGTGCTTGCTGAGGTGCAACAACTGGGGTGGACACGGATCGCTTCAGCTTCATATTCACAGTACTACTCTTTGACAAGGAATCGCGGCGTTCGCGGGGAGACGAGTGCGGTTCTTGGCCGAGTCCCGAGGAAGAGGAGGTCTGGGGGAGCCCGTTGGCGTAGTCTGCGGCGGCCATGGACACGTGGTAGCCGGCAGGCGAGAGGGCCATGTGGGTAGTGCTGCCGCCGCTGGCGGGCGGCGCAGGGTATTGGTAGGACATAATGTCGGTCATTGTGACGGCCGAGGTGGCGGAGGCTGTGGTGGGGGAGAAGGGAGCGTACGAGGCGTACGGGTCGAAGGTAGAAGAAAAGGGCGATGTGGGGGAGAAGGTGGCGGAAAAGGGTGAGAAGGGAGAGGTGGACGACGAGGACGAGGAGTAGGATAGATCTGGAGGCGAGGATGAGGACGATGCCACAGGATATGCAACGGTTGTAGTGCCGGATCCCCAAAAGTCCAGTCTTTCTTGGAGAGGAGGAGGGGCGACGTCGGCCATGAACGGAATGCAACTCTTGTTGACAACTTACAGTGGATGGAAAAAGAAAGGTGAAAGGTTGCGAGGCGAGAGGGTGCTTGTTGTGTTTGAGCGAGGAGATGGTGGACGATGCAAAAGGAAAGGGAAAAGGGAAGGAAAAGGAAGAGCAGAACAGGCCGAGAGAAGGAGAGGGGAGGGAGAAGAAAAAGGAAAGAACAAGAAAAGAAAGAGTAAGGAAAATATAGACGAGAGACGAGACGAGTAAAAGAGCAAAGAAATAAAGGGAAAATACAAGTAAAGAGGAGTTGGTGTCAGAATTATATTGAGCAGGTCGAGTCAAAAGGCGGAGATGCAATGGCAAGGATGAACGGAAGATGGATAGAGGAGAAAAGGAAAGATAAAAGAATATATGAGAGAAAGAGAGAAGGAAAATTGATAAAGCAAGAAACCAAAGACAAGATGGGCGGACGAGATGGCGAATGGAATAAATATAAAGAGGACTGGAGTACCTGTACAAAAAGAAAGGGAGGAGGGTACGAAAAAGAGATGAGGAAGAAAAAGACAGGCCGCACGAGAGATGCACGTATTAGACAGTCTTATGAATTCGTCGTGTGATATAGCCCCCAGTCTGTTCCATCAATAGGAGGACAGGGTAATAATGCTGCAAGTGAAGCTGTAACAGCGGTGCTCCGACAAGTCAAGACCAGACGAGCCGAACGATCCAGAAGAGCCAGAAAAGCCAGACAAGCCTGGCGTAAGTTGAGAATTCGAGAATCGAGAAACAAGGATAAGAGCCAGATAGATTGCTTGGGCCCAGAAAGCAGGAGACCAGTGTCCCCTTTGCTCGGCCGATGATTGACGACACCCGGTATCAGGGTGTTGAGTGCAGCCGAGAAAGGAAAATATGGGGGCCGAAAGCAGCTATCTGGAAGAAAGGCAAAGGAAAGGCCGAGGGGGCAAAAGGCAAAGATGCGTCGAGCCTGGAGAGTGTGGAGAATAGGCAGGTTTGGGCAAGGATGGTGGATGAGAAGATCAAGAGCCGGAAAAAAAAAAGAGATGTGAAGTAAATGGTGGCAGGACGTAGATGCAGTAAATAATGGTGGAAGTGGGCGAGCGAGGAAGGTACGCGGTGCGCTCGAGAGCAGGAAGGTGCGATGTGCGATGGGCTAGGACCGCAGGAGAGGCAGGAACGATGGCCACAGGCGCGTGGATCGTCTCCCAAGAGCCAACGATGGGGTTTGGGTGGTTGAATGGTGCCTAAAAGAAAATAAAAGTAAGGTACAAGAGAAAAAGAGAGGCGTAAGCAATAAAAATTTCGAGGGAATAAAGAGCACCGAGAGGTCGTAAACAAGAGAAATGGGCAATAAAGAGAGCTGCTATTGGGGTGAAGACAGGGTGAATGGGCAAAGAGGCAAAGAGGCAAAGAGGCAGGCGGGCCGGCCATTAACAAGCAAGGAAAGAGCGATGGGAGCAAAGGTAAAGTGGAAGGAATCAACGTATCCAGAGTTCTTTCGTACATGCACAATAGGAAGGCGCCACTGGCAGTGGGAAAGAGGTCTTTTTTTTAACAGAAAGCAGAAACATCAAAAATCCCAACCAGAAAAATGGTAAAGTGACAAACGCTGCTGGCTTGTGCAAAAGGAAGCTTTACGGGGCATGTCCAGTCGCAGAACAGAAAAGACTGGCCAACGGTACAGTGAGCAGGGCGAGGGGTGTGAGAGACGATGTAGACAAAACGACGGACAATGGAGCATATAAGGCGATAATAATAGAATGGGAATACAACAATACATAGCAGAACAGCGAAGAGAGAGGCGAATCGCTGTCACAGGCAGGGGGTTTGACAGGCAGTGTACGACATAATACTCCGTAGGCATCACTGGCAGGTCGACTTTTACGAGGGTAGTGTTACTGCCGGTTCTGGCTCGACCAGGCGGGTGGCAGATACAGAACGATGGACTTTGGCCTGGGAGAGGATTTTAAGGGGCGTGGAAGGCAGGGGTGTAAGGGGAGGGAGGGGGTGTCTGTATGGAATAGGTGAGAGCGAGCTGGGGGCAGTAGCCAACGAAAATAAATGCAAATACTTAAAAATAAGTGAGGGCAGGAGTTTAAGGAAGAGAGGAATGAAGAAAATGAAGCCAAATAGATCAAGATAGTCCCCTGCTGTCCTCATATTTGAGGCTATGGTTCTCGACCTTGCCAGCGATCACGACAGCTAGGGACAATGAAGAAATAAACGAGCAACAAGCAAAAAAAAAAAAAAAAAATGATATTTGACAAGAGAATTGGGCACACTGTTTAACATGAGTGTAGGGTCTCCCTTTGCTGGAGACCACTTTCTACGTTTATTTTTATGTTGTTTATTTTTGGCAAAAGCTGCGTTTGTTGGTGCCAGACGGGAACACGCCTTGGAGTCTACATCTGAGTCTGCCAGTCTTGCCTCTCGTCGGCGTCGTAGTTTTTATTTTAAGTTCCAGTTGGGGAAGTCGTATTTTCCTCTTTGGGTGAGAATGGGAAAGGAGTGTTCCCGATCTAGCTTCTCGTCTCTGGGGCGAAAGACAAGGGTGAATTTGGAGATGCCGTGGGGAATGGAATATGAGGGGCACGGCATATGGGCAGCAAGCTGGTCGAGGGGAAAGGCGAGGTAGCAACACGCGAGAGAGCAGAAGAAAATAATAAAATAAAAAGAAGGTTAAAAATGCATAGAGCAGAAACAAAAGAAAGGAACAAAAAAGGCCTGAACACATGTCAATGTCTGGTTCAACCGCCTGTTTGGGCAGCAAGGCACGTAATGCTCCGGAGTTCCAGGCAAGCTGGTAGGGAGTAATTACGGAGTACGACGTATTACGAAACAAAGGAGAGGCAGCTGGTTGGCCACTTTGAATGGGCTCGGGGCGAGTTGGAAGGGAAAAGGCATCAGGAGACGAGGCGAGATCCAAGACCAGCAAGAAACCGGTTCATTATGAGGGGAAAAGGAGGAAGCCAAGGGAGACTTAGAAGACAGAAAGAAGAGCGAACTCGAACTCAAACTCAAACTCGGGAAGCACAGCATTTGGGGTTGTTGTGTCTGTCGTGCTGCTCGCCTAATTCAGGCGCCGGCTTCTCAGCCTTCTTTTTTTCCTTGTCATCTGGAAACGGCTTTGTTGTTCCCTTTTCCATGTTTGTTTTCCTTGTCTTGCGTATTTGGTTTTCGAGTTTAATTCTCTTGCTCCTCGATGTTCGGTATGGATTCCACGCACATTTATCTTTTCCCACTCGGATCGAGTTCCGACTAGCAGGTGATTTGAGAGAATACTGTAGGGCATAGGGTAAGGTTGTTGAGGAGGACGATGAAGCAAACAGAGGGTGTGCCAATAGCGGCGGCGACTAGGGGCGTGTGGTTGTGACGAAGTGCTGCAGAAGGCGGTTGTTGCAGTACGAATTACATGGAAAAATGAAACATTGAGCATGTACTTTTGTCCTGTTGCAAGGCGATATAATATGGAATATATGAAAAAAAAAAAAAAATGAAAAAAAAAAGAGAGAGAAAAGAAAGGAAACGTGGTTCCCGATTCCAAGCCCGCTGGCCTCGACGCCCTGGCCAGCGTTTCTCGTCGTTTGGCTCCCCACGTCGACAGCCACCAAGGTTGCGTATTGCCCTGTCGTGTTTCAAGAGTACGTAGGCAGGCCTTAGGCTCAAGCCGATACGTCGTGAGAACTTACAGAGGACGATACAATCATCATCGGCTTTTTTAGTTGGACCGCCCTGTCGACCCTGTCAACCATGTTGCCTCGTATGTTTTGTCTTTTCTTTCACCTGTCTGCGCTAGGCACGGCCCATCGACTCGCCCAGCCGTTAGCCGCAAGAGCGAGAGGACTTGGGGGCAGGCCTAAAGACCAAAAAGGGCAGGGATGTTGGAGTAGGTTGACAGAACGCTATGGATTGTTTGAATATGGCGAATAGTGCAGTGACGGTCATATGTCAATGTTTAAGTGCCTTTTTTTAAAAAAAAAAAAAGTAGTAATAATTGGCTTCCCTGGAAGGCATCGTTTTCCGTTGTCCCTGTTGTCCCTCTTATCGTTTCTTCATTCTACCTAGACCTGCGTTGTTTTCTCGGCCAATCCAGATGGACCGATTGCACGAGTGTGATGCTAGTTGGTAACGAGGGTTTGAAAAAAAGCCTCAGTTACGTCAGGGATGGTGAGCTATATCCCTTTCATATTGTGTCATTTCGTCACTTTTACTCGATATTTCCCTATTTCATTATCTCTCTTCGTCGAGTCTTTTTCGTCGTGTCTCTCTTCAGGGTTGTAAACAAACACGGCTGTGGCACATGGCCAATCCCGAGAAACCAGGGCGGGAGACAGCCAGACGGCAGAGAGGTAGGGGACGGAAAGAAGGAAGAAAAGAAGGTTTAGAGTTAAGACAGAAGACAAGGGAGGGAATACCAAGTCACGGCATGGCGGCCGACCACTCAGCCACGCGATATAGAAAGCACTATGGGAACAGGCGATTGCGTTTCGCGGCTTTTTGCGATGCTCTTGCGTCCTTTGTGGCTTTTGTTTTTCCGTGGCTCGTCTAAGTTCTACTTTCGAATTGTATTCACAGTTCTCCTTAGATGGGACGAATTAGAGATTGTAGGATAAATCGAAAGGGAAGAAAACGGAAACGAAAAAAAATCTTTTAAAAAATGAAAACAAAACAAGAAAACCCGCAACTGAAGCGAGCAACACCCGAAGCCACAATGCATGCGCAATGCAATGCAGGAAAAGACATTGAC